ACATGTATCCTATTCAGTTAACTGCAGCATCTAAAATTAATTTACAGCAAAACATCTAAAGATCACTTTACAGTGTGGCTTTCTGGGCAAGTTTAATAAAATATTGCTTTTATACTTCCATTTTGGAAAGAACTTAACTGTTGAAAGATCTTCACAAGGAAGCAAGAAATGCTGTTAGAATAACACTGACTGCAAGTACAGAATATCCTGTCAGGTATACTTCTTTGATGGTGAGAAACTTACCCATGTCCCAAGCCTGTAAGAAAGAACATGCCTGTCAGCTTAACACACAAAGTGTGATGAAGATCAACACTGCATAATTTTATGTGCTCTCCTGTAGAGAAGAATGGGATAAAAAAAAGGTTGTACAAATTCATTCTTCCTTCTATAATATGAATAAGAAAACTAAAAATTACAATTTATTTGGATTAACCAATACCAGAGTAAACAAATTCTATCCAATTGTTCATGGTGTGAGGCATAGAAATGGCCAGTTTGTGCCTATCTTAATTAAACCAATGTCTTTGAAAACATGTATCATATTACAACTTTGGCAGTATAGATGATATTAGTTCTTAAATTACTTAACAAAGCTACATAGACTGCAGAAGTTATTTGGCATTGTGAAAAATCATACTTACTAAGTGTCTAATGCCATTTATATAATGATAACATAGAGGAAATGCAAGGGTTGCCTTTACTGCCAGAAGTAATGCAGGACTCAGATGCATACTTTCAACTGCAGCCAAGTTTTCTGAGAAATGTCCACTCGTGAAAAGTCCACCTAAAATTAAATAAAACTTGAATGGTTCAGATCAGGGTCTTCTATGTTGTAACAACATGTAGGCTAGCTGGTGGTTACCAGTGTTCCAGATTAACATAGAATGTTGCTTCAGCATATAATATCTCATATTTCAGACACTAACCATTTCAGATTCATTGTTAATTAACCTACATAAAAATAAGTAATGCATTTTGTGTACTGTATATTATCACCTACATTCATATGTAATGTGCAGGTACAGGTATGTTACAATATGCTTTATTCGCTACAGTACAATTCCAATTTAAGTCGGTCAACATTCCTATATCTTACCTATTCCCCACACAGTTACAATGCCCCCCAGTGCCATTCCAGTTGCTCTGTGTGTCAGTGATAGGATAGTTGTTAACTGCGGTCTGTATATGGTAAGATGAGGTGACTGAGGGCGACCCAGTCTTGCATTCTTAGTATCAAAGTCTTCACTATCTTTTTGAGCTGCAACATTTGACGCACTAGCTACCGTTACTTTTAACCTGCAAGGAAAGGCTGAAATGTATCTTAATTCAATTACAGTTATGGAGTAACTGGCATTTTATTGTTGGATTAAATAGCTTGGTTCATGTTGATACATGATAAATGTTTGGTAGTATCAGAAATAATTTTATTCAAATTTATATAGGCTTCAGGTACGAAAGGGCATCCCAATATACTTTCCTCACTACTTGTATTAATGAAGCACATTTTATAAAGGCTTTTGACAGAATAAGGTGCATTTAGAAAAGCAAAAGCCTGCAGAAAATACTTTCAGAACACAATAAGTTAGGACTATCTTTCTCGCACATATTACAGGCGACTTGTCAGAAATGTTAGTAAAAGCATGATTTTTTTCACTTTTGGATCATCACAAATCTCCAATTTCAACATGGCAGAATGCTGCAAATATAAGCAATTATATTTTTGGCACTTGCCTTAATTTCACTTAATACATACTGCTCTCTGTTGCCGGAAACAACCTTCCAATCCAACTTACCCAGAGGCCAAAATTCCACGGTGAAGGTATCCTGACAACGGTTTCTGGGTAAAAATCCTGTAATTATAAAGGTTTATGAAATTGAATTATGCATTTCAGTACAAGTATCACTTCGCATAAAAGACAGTAGTTTACAAATTATAAGGAATTTATTCATCACCAATATGACGGAGGCAGTATGACCTCTAAAACGTTGGTGGAAATCTGCAAGACTACACGGCGCAATAACCCAGAAGACAACAATCTTCAAATTTATAATTATTACCTAATGCATTGTGAAGCCATTTTGTTTCTCAGCTAATATGGAAAACAAAATAATGTCTGCCAAACCACAGATTACGCTACTTCTTATTTACAAGAAATATCAAAACAATATCTAAACTCTGTGGAACAGAGTTCTTATTGGCTAGCTGTAAGTCATTCTGCATTTAGGGAACACGAAGGTTATTAAATATCAGAGATAACTTTATGATCACAATAACCCGCCACTTTATAGTTCTTACTCAGAACCGTATGAATCCAGCCCACTCCTTAAACTATATTTCACCAAGTTTAATGTTATCCTTCCAAATACGTTAAGAAAAACAGTGAACTATGACAAAAAAGACATGTTTAAAATATTTTGTTTGAAAAAATTTCATCTGAAGTTGATTTAAAAATAGCCATTCCAGAGAAAAGAGCTGCAAAGTAACAACCAATAGAATCTATTATCAGTAACCAATCATATTCAATGTCACACTGCGATATGGAAGATTGGCGTCGGTTATGGATCGAGTTGATATTCTCAGTATAATTTTCTTTTGAGGTAAGGTTTAAATGTGATTACCAGTTATAGTTAAAATTAATTATGACCCGCATGATGTCTGTTGTTTATACACTATTCGGAAATAAAAATAATTACAAATTTTAACATAGGTTGTAACATTAGAGCATTACTATCTTGTTAGGGGCTTTGATGATTTGCATTATGATACATTTTAATGTTTTTTTAACGTTGAGATAATGCGAACTTACTATACCATAGGTACATATGTGCATACAATCATATTTTTATTACAAAAGTGTTATACTTAGCATTTTTAGTTAAAGGTTTTTATACAATACTGATTAGGGGTGCTAGTGACCCCAGCCAGAATGTAATATTTAAACGTGTGCAAAATAAAAATTTAGCAGGAGTCTGAGAATGTAAATTGTTTAGCCCCCGTTCCCGTAAAAGTGCAGGCATACTACAGATATTTTTTACTGAAAGCGACATTGAATATGCATGTAAATGGGTATATCATCATCAAAAGGAACGTGTAAGCGGATTTTTGCTATAATATTTATTCGTTAGACCACTAACTGAAAATAGTGTGGATTACATTTTGACAGTTTTGGAGCCTTCCCTTTATTCTCAGCTTTTTAAGTAGGTTATGGTAGGCACATGATGGGGTTGGAGTAGGTTTGGGTATGCCAGTTTTTAAGGTATTAAGCGAAGTGGTGTTTAAAGAAGGAACCATTATGACAGGTGATAGTGACTGTTACATGGTCAAACTTAAAAATAACTTACTATAAGTTATTTTTCATTAAGTAGTAAGTTCTTAATAATCAAGATTTGTGGTAGATCACAAAAATGTGGCACCTGTATATGAACATTATTACATTTACAGAATAGTGTAGTTGGCCAGATAGAGATATTTTTTATTCATGAAGTAGTTATTTTGTATTTATAATCATTTGTACTGCTTCCATGCCACAATTCATGGTAGTGTTTAGTGATGTGTCTGAGAGGAGAATTATTTGGCCTGGTGGTCAGGGTGTGTTGAATATTAAATAGCATCTGTTGTTATTTTCAGGTATCAACAGAGTAAGAGTACACTCTTAAGACAGAATCAGATTGTCAAGGAAGAAATATGGTATGTAAACAAATTAACATTTTTGTATCTTATCAAATATATATTTATATATATATATATATAGAGAGAGAGAGAGAGTGTATGCATGCTTGTGTGCATCAGCTGTCTTACAGGGGTTTAAATTTTTTTATTTTATACTGCAATTTTAATTTTGTGAAGAAAACTGGTGAATTTTGAATAACTGTATTTCCCCAACACTATGAATGACAGTTAATGGCTCTAGCACTGTGACCATATACAGTCTGTTGAGCAGCTCTATGTATTTTTAGCCATTTAGCAGTGTTGCACTATGATTGAAGTGCAAAACTTTATGAAGTGGGGCTTTTAGTAATTACAAGTTTTATGTAGTGTGATTAAGGTGGTGAAGGTTTTAATTCAGCTAAGGCTTTACAGTCACACAAGACACGTGAAGCTGCTTTACTTTGTTGTGTCATCTCTCATAAGTTGGGTCATTTACCAGGTGTGAGTAGATGTTCCTTTAAATGACTGTCCCATAAATAATGTCTTTACTTGTGCCAAGTGGTTCCTATAAGTTATTCAGAACATTAATATAAATGTGGGACATTGTGTACTGTATATTTACCTATTCTGTATCCTTGTCCTAGTATTATGGAAGTTCTGTGTGATGTAAATAAATTCTGATTCTACTGCTTAAAGAAGTAGGTATCTGTGTTAACACGTTTTTATAAATGTGTACATTTCTATATATTGAAATAACATTTATTATGATTTCTTCTCAGTAACTGTGTCAGGTTGTGTCATATTTGAACTATGGAAATTGTTTATATCCATATGTATGATGGCCACAATATCAATGGAGATGTTAAATAAATTTTAGATGAATTGCAATAATATTCACTTCATGAATACATACACATGCATGTGAAAACTTGGTACAAATGGGTTTCTTGTACCTAGTTGCATTGTCAGTTGTTGATTTTGTTTATTTGAAAATTTTTGTTGAACAGCCAGAGAGAAACTTTCGTAAATCCCCAGCTCGAGCAGCTGCTGCAGCAGCAGCAGCAGCAGCAGCCGAGAATTCAGTCCCTCTCAGACGAAGATCTCCAGCTCGCCGTGCTGAAAGGTCTCCAGCTCGCCGTACTGAAAGGTCTCCAGCCCGTCGGTCTGAAAGGTCTCCATCACGTCGGTCAGAAAGGTCTCCATCACGTCGTTCTGAAAAGTCACCATCTCGTCGTGCTGAAAAGTCACCAAGTCGGACACCTCAGAAACAGTCTCCATCAAAGAAATCACCAAGCGAGAGAAAATCCCCTGCTCGCGTGCGAAAGTCTCTTGCAAGAAATGTGCCAAATATTGTAATTCCACCCAAGGAAGAAATAATTCAACAGCGATCAGGTGATGAATTTTAAATTCTTTATTACTTTCTTTGTAGACTTCTGTAAATGGAGTTATATGAAAATTGAAACACATGGAAAGTAACCCTGTGCAGCACATTATTTTGTTTGTCTCTTCAGCTAGGGTAAGTGGGACACCCAGGTTCTGGTGTCAAAATTATGTGTACAGTGGAAGAATTTGTTCATATGGGTTGTTGTTTCTTGGCTCTACAACCCAGTTGTGGGCTTTCACTGCCTCTTTTTTCAGAAGTGTGCATTTATGAATAGTGAGTGACCATCCCACTGACTCTGCACAATTTCTACTCAATCCTGATTTGACTGCCAGAGCCATCTAGCAGTTAATCAGGAGACTTGGGTGAGAAGTGGCTGCTGAATTTTGCTTATGAAACATTTCGTATCATGCTCGTAAGATTCTTTTACATGCCGTAAATCTACAACATGGGACTTCTAGCTTTACTTCCCCTCCGAAGGAAGTTGTACTACAGATTTTTATCACCCTTAAAAATCCATCGACCTCAGCTGGGACTGAACCCGCGAACCTTGAGGTCCAGTGGTGAGCACGCTAACCACTAGCCCATCGAGGGTGGCTGTTTGTATGGGTACAGAGGCTTCAAACCTTTGTGCTACTGTACTACAAGGCTGCTGGCCTGATGAATATGGTTTTAGTGGTTCAGTGGTATGTGAAGAACTGCCAGTTGGATTGTTTGTTAGCAGTGACACACAATCCTTGAAGTTTAATATTTAAACATTTGCACACAAATTAAACATTTACATTGTCAGTCAATTACAGCTGACAGTTTTCTGTAAGGTCTGGATTAGGGCTCAGATCTTAGCATTAAATAGTTTGACTTTACAATTAGTGACCTTAATGAGTTGACAGTTTTGAAGTGATTATGCTGTTTAATAACCTCTTTGTGTGAGAGTTTTTTTTCAGAATGATCTTCCAGCAGATAGTTTTCTCCTATTTCGTTAATGGTGCACCATCAAATTGGTTCATGCTAGCATTGCCAATAATTATAATTTTAATGGATTGGGGAGTTTGTTTCCTGTGCAAAACAAGCATTGTCATTGTTGTGGTGTTTAAAAGCAGAGAATGTAGTAAAATTTGAGATATTTTTTCTTGATAAGATCTTGATAATTGGGTTTCACACATGCCCACTTGGAATAAATTCTTTTTCTCTCACTCCACTCATGAACATTTTGAATCTCATAAGTTTATTTTCTTGTAGTGGTTCTGCACAACCATGCCTCAGGAGATGGACTTGATTTTCTGAGCAATGTAAGGAGATCAAGAGAGCCATCTTTACCATCTGTTCTAAGAAGATCCACAAGAATTGCAGTACATGAGGAGGTACCATGCAGCCTTGACATAGTGAGATTTTTCTAGATTAGGAAAAGTGCACTTTCACTTCAGTTGTAAAGGTGCTGGGAAAAATGCCAATATTTTTGTGGACTTTTTCTGTGTGTAACGTTTAGAAAGTTGCATTACTAATGAATTTGTTCACTGTAATGAAGTTCTTGTTATAGTTCATATGTGTGCTGTCACTACTGCACTGTATGTATAAATAAAATAAGAAGTAGGTAATTTATCATTGCTTCAATAGCTGATAAGTAAGAGCAAAATGTAGAAATTTGGGTCTTCAAGTGCACAAAGTGATGATGTCTTGCACATCATAGGTCAGTCTACTATCAGTAGAAGTGAACTAATATATTTCTGTCTGCCTTTGTTTAAAAGCAGTATTTGGATCATAAGGGATGCTTACATTCACTCACTCTCAAACTCTAAGGACTGTCTCCAGATTTTCTGTTTCAGACTTTCTTCCATATGGTCATTTGTTTTGTATACTTTATCCATCAAACATCTGTAAATAAATAAAAGTCTGAGGGGTTGAGTCAAAAGTACTGGTCATTCACAACTTCATTGCAAAACACTCATTTCAAATCTATCACAGAAGTATCTGGTATGGGCAATTGATGAAGATTCCCTGGTTATGTGTAAGCTGATTAAAGAATTCTGTTAGTGTTATTAGCATAACCTACCTCTCAGAATTGTTTCTGTAGAACATACAAACCCACTTGTAAGAAATCTTCTTTGGTTATTGGCCACATAAAGTCCTGTGCTTTCATCCTTAGTGTAGACATCTGTCTTCTTATCAAGAGGCAGTTTAAAAACAAGTCTTTTTGGTAATTGGTAATTTAAAAGAGTTTTTAAGACACAGTTTGTCAAACGCAAAAGAGTTAAAATATTCTTTGATTAGCCATTTTTAAGAGTATAGCTGTGAAAGACAAAGTTGGGTTATTGGTGTGTGTTAGTTTTGCTGATGAGAGTGACTTGAAATTTGTATGAGAGCAAATTCTCCAAAACTTGGAGAATTTTAAAATGTCTGATTTTTAGAACTTGAAATCTCCTTGAAGGCAGAGTTTGAGCTTGTTCACAGATCCCTACAAAAAAGGAATCTAAACTGTTTGATCTTTGCTGCTTTATAATATAGTATACCATTTTGTTTCTCGTAGTTTGAAGACAGATTGGAAGAAACAAAGAGAATTGAACAATTAAAGGTATCCATCAACGCAGAAGTGGAGTATCCTGAAAAGCTGTCATTGAAGTTAGAAAATCATGAAGTTAAGGAATTTGGTGGTGTATTTGGAGTTCTGCTGTTGCAAATTATTTCACAACTACTATTGTTGGCAACTCATTTATACTGTTCTGAGGTGAGGAATATTAACAGATACTAATAAACTGTTTCCTCATGCAACCCTGATAACAAGTAATATTATTAGAAGGAAATGGTGTGAAGATGGCTGTCTTTTAGGTTGTAGCACCATGTAGTCTGGTAGAAGTTTGCCAACATTTCATATGTCCTTGCTACCTCCATCATGGTGATGATGGAGGCAGCAGACTACATGGTGCGACAACCCAGAAGACAGCCATTTTCCTTCTTCCTCATAATCAACACTTTGTTGCTTTCAACCATTAATATGATCTATTAATGGCTTTGTTGAAACTATTTGCTTAAGTGTAAATTATTGATGGAACAGAGGTCTGATTCACACAGGGTAGAGATGAATGCTGTAACAGTTTGGTGGATTTTTAACAGGTACAGTATGGAGTGAACAATTTTAGAATCCCATTTGACTGGAGAGTGTATTTTGACTTGGAAGTAGCTGCATTGTATCTTGGATTCGTAGTACTACAGTTGGTGATGTCTATTATACCAGTGGGAAAACTTGTTGATGGATTGCCAGATAAATTGGGCAGACTTAAATACCGGAACAATGGTAAGATTTTTATGATACTTTTGCATTTTAAACTTTATGGTAATATACTGTTATGTTGTGTTTTTCAATTCAGTTTTCTTTCTAAAGCAATCTTAAGAGAGTGTTATGGTGTACTTCAGTTATGTACTGCATTCTTTGTGTTTTTGTATCCTTTGTTCTTCGTTCCTCATTGCAGATATACATGTATTGTTAACAGAGCTAATGAGTGGAATGTGTGTGCGCGTGTCAATAAAAATGTTTCAAATAAGCTCTCAGGACTGCAATACAACATTCCCTCAGTACCATGTTTCAGCAAAATTAATTGAGGAGTTGAAAATGAAACATGGGGATTTCCATCTGTGACTTTGCCATGATGCGTTTATTTTATTCCTTTCATCAAAAAAAAATGTCAGTTGGATACACTGTCTTTGTATTCTTGATTTGGGCAAATTTAATTTAATATGTTGAAATTATGTATTTTCTTACAGGGTTACTGAGTGCCATTGTCACTGTAGCAATACTTGCAGTTCTTAAATATTTCAAGTTCACTGTGACAATTATTGCTGACAAGTACATTCAGTTCTTTGTCACTGGACTGGTATATGCATATATCCTTGCTTTACTGCTATATATTCGGGGAGGACGAGCTCATATAGTGGCTCAGAATCCATTCGCAATGACAGGTAGTTTCATATATGACTTCTGGATGGGCAGAGAGGTGAATCCTCGTATTGGACCGTTTGATGTGAAAGTTGGTCTGTATAGAACTGGAATCATAGGAATGGTGAGTGATTCTGATTATTGATTCATTACACTACCTTTGCATGATAAATCCAGTAGTTGTGATGATGACAGTGATAATGTCATTATATTATGTTTATTCATTGTGTTCTTTTTTTAAAAGAATGGGAATATTTGGTATTCTGTAATTAAAATGAACTATTACTAAAACAGCATAGTAAATAGTGTCATCAAGCATTCTTTTCACTATGAGAGTTAATATCTGATCTTACTTATACTGAATGCTCTGCATTATCAGATTCTAGTTGAATTTTAAAATAGTAATTTTCACCAACATTTTAGTGCAAGTCACTTCTAGAACAAGTTTTCTAGTCAGTGGAAAGGAAAATATGCATGCATTACTTATAAACAGTACCCTTTATTTAAGTGGAATATGTTTCTGTATAAATGGTAACAAAATGTAATAATTATACATTGTTTAATTGTGCTCTACTACAATATGCAAAACTGTACATTTGTTATGGCAGATTGTGGTGAATGCTGCATTGATACTTAAAAGTCTGGAACAGAGTAGTGGGTATTCACCCACTCTACTACTTGCTGGTGGACTTCAAATTTGGTATGCGCTAGATTTTCTTTGGTTCGAGGACGGTTTTCTGGCCAGCTTTGAAGTTATGTATGAAGGCACAGGTTACATGTTGGCACTGGGCTATAACATGTATCCTTTCATACCAACCATCATCACAAGATTTGTGCTTATCTACAGGTTTGTAGTTTGTATCTTTTGTTTGGTTAGAATAACAATTTCTTACAGATGTTGATCACCTTCTTCCTTGTGATTTATTTTACATTTAGAGAACACTGCTAGAGACATTCATTGATGTCTCCACCTTGTATATGGTCTTCCTCTACCCATTTTTCCATACGGTTTAATAATTTTTTCTCATTTTGTAATCTTTTGGTTTCTTATTTTTATTCTTTATACTTATTTCTAATTCCTGTTGCCTCAAAAATTGTATATTTCACTTTATTTGTGTACCCATGTTAAAATCTCTTTTGCCAGTTTCATGCAAAATTTTACCTAGTACTCTTGTGGCTTGGTTAACATGATCTGTGAATTACAGTATTTGGTGATCATTAATGTGGATTCCTTCATAACAGATCAGATGTGATGAATATTTGAGATGAAATGGGAATATAATTGATTAAGACATCAGCTATTTATAGGTTTTAATAAAACACTTTATATGGAGATGCTTACTTTACGTAATTTCATCAGGACTATATGGTGGAAGGATTTGGTATTAGTGATGATGCTGTTACTTTTTTCCAAATAAAATTCATGCATAAATGTGACAGGAAGATTTCAGTGGTTGATACTTGGGAGGGGAAATTAATCCTTTGATTTCATTCTACTACACTTTTTGACATTCAGTTGTTTCCATTGCAGTTACTTGAAAAGTGTGCTGGTTGGTAGTTTGTTTACTCTGAATTAATTAGATAGTGTAGGAGAGTAGGTTTAGAGTCCAGTTGTAGGATACCATGTAAGAAGTCAACTGACTTCCTGCTTAAAGTATTGTATGATGTGTAGAAATGTGGTTTCCTGTGGTAAGATTGAGTTTATGTTTGTTACGAATCTGTGCAGGTAATTAAGATTGCAAAAAAACAAAGTATTAATTATTAATATCTATGAATGAAAGTAGTGTTTAGTACACTCTGTGATATGTTGCAAATCGCTGTTTAATTTGTTTTAGGGTGGAGATTCCCTTGTATTGTTTAGCTGTTATTGCCATCGTCAATGCTATCGGTTATGTAATTTACCGAGGTAGTAATTCGCAGAAGAGTGAATTCAGAAGAAATCCATTGAATCCTGCTTTGGCTCGTGAGTAATTTCTGTATACAGTTCATTCCTTTGACAATGTTTAGAAGTTACAAGACTTAATTTGGTTTTCATTTATATTCATGAGCAAAGCTTCCATTGTCTCCATCCTGTCATAAGTGTGTTACTGGCATGAAACTTCTCATGACTGTCACATTTAACCACCTATAAGGTACAGGTGTGAAAAGATTTCTTATTGTCACACTCCAGTTATGGCAAGTGATAAGCATATTACTGCAGAAGGTACAAATAAGTTCTGTGCTGTTATGTACCACTCTTAAATATTGACTGCATTTACATTGGTATTTATTTATATACTTATATTTATATGCAGTCGGATAATTTTTTGTCCAGTGTAAAGATTGGAAGGTATGTCCTACCTCCTGCCCTTCACATCACTTATAAAGTGATATCATTCATGTGGTTGGTTGAAAATCACCGCCTTGCATCTGATTGATCAGCTTGACATGAAGGACTCGACTTCTGAAATGTGCTTAAACATCAAAAACATAATAGATACATAGTAACTTTTAAGAGCAGTGTGACATGCACCTAAAAAACGTATTAGATGACATGTGATATACCTATGGGAAAAATGAAATAATATGGTGGCATATATTTGTTACAGACTTGGAAACAATACCAACATCTCGTGGAAAGAAGATTCTGGTTTCTGGGTGGTGGGGCTGGGTGCGACATCCAAATTACCTTGGTGATATTATCATGCATTGGTCATGGGCCAGCACTTGTGGTGAATATTTTACATTTATTATTTAACTGTTCGTGTTTGGAAGCTTCTGTAAGACTTAACATTGGCTTGTGATTTGTGTTTCTCCTGAGATACATTTAACCATTATTTTGTCTTCAGCATGGCTTCCATTACATATCATTCTGCTCTTCTTCCAGCATTGTTTTTGATGTTACAGGGGGTAGTGGATTCTGGTCATATCTAGCAAACATTTTTTTAAGTCTATACAGAGTGATCAAAAGATCATGCAGCCCTTTCCTGACATGTTATATTTGTCAAAAAATAAATTAGATTGGAATCAGAAAATAAAAAAGCAATGTTATGTTAAGTGTTGGAAATGTCCACCACATTTGGTGATGTGTGCATTCACTCTTTACCTCATGTTTGATGCAACCCCATGGAAACAGCTCACGAGGTAAGATATTTTTGATTTGTTTGGCGCAGGAGGATCAGGAAATGTATCCCTAATCTCATCCTGGCAAGTTAAGTAAGAACAAGATACCAGTAGCGTTTGATAATGAACATTTGTTCCATTTGCGAAAAAGACATCCTTGTTCTTTAACTGTTGAAAGACAGCTGACAGACTGATGCAAGCAGGTTATAACATGACATGACCTATGTGAGCTCTTCAGTAGTCCTGGTGGAATTGTGTGTATTAATCCAGTCATATTATAAGTCCCAGCATTATGCTAAATAATCTCATTTAGATTCAGAGCATGAATATGTTGTGATTTGGGGTGGGAGTGATATGATGGTGCCTTATATTCAATCATACATCTTGGTGTTCAAGCACTGATATTTCTGCTTACTTTCAGTCTTTTTGTATTATTGTGATGGGTACATATATCAGTAATTTTCATTATCATTGTTCTTGAGGATTAGATTGTTTTAACTCCAGGGCTCATGGAAAAATTAGTTTTTTTGTCATTTGTGTGTTCTACCTCTTCCTACCTTTTGGTATAAACCGGTTAAATATTTTAGCCATTCATTGTCTGTGGTGGAGTAAGTATGTTTATTGTGACACCCTAGATTGCCAAATCCTTTGCCTTTTCTTGTAATATTCTCTAGCAGTCTGAACCTTTCAAAGCCCAGCAGTAACTGTATGTACCACCTGCTTGCAGTTAGTAACTTTGTGTATTGTGTGCATGGCTATTACATAATTATCATTGCAAATAGTGATTTCATTAATCAGTTGATCTTTGGAATGGTGAAGTGTTGTGTTTTCTTTGAGGCATGAACTGAATTCTTAATGTAGATGAACTTTGGCTTCAAACGGTTAAATACTTTCATGTGTACAGTATATATTGTAGATTGATTTCTTTTGTAGGCCTTGTTCATCCTGTGCCATATGTGACAGTGCCCTTCTTCACAATGTTGCTGTTGCTTCACAGAGCTAAGAGGGATGATTCACGTTGTAAACAGCGTTACAGTGCAGCCTGGGATCGATACAGCAACCGTGTTAAATACCGTGTCATACCAAAGGTCTATTGACCATTGAGAAGCACACTTTGAAATGCTCAAACCATGACAGGTCAAATATTTTTTGGTTAGTAGTTGATCTCAGTAGGAGAATAATTTTACTTCTTTTTTTCTTTCTTTGTTTTTTATGTTACAAGAAGAGTGTGTTAAAATATTATGAGTTTATAAGAGAAAGAGAATAATAGGACAGTCTAATGAAATTTAACATCATTTTTATTATTTACATATCAGGTTATTTTATCTGATGTCATTCAGAAAATTAGATTGGTGTGCAGTATTCTGACTAGGCATTGTCTTGTCATACTACATATAATTGATCATAGCTATTACTTTTTTAAGGCTTTTTCTGTTTAAAATTATGCTTGTCCAAGAGAATGCAAAATACTTCCCTGATAATGATAATGTGTGTTAAGCTTTTATCTAAACTAAGACCGTCCGGATTGTTGCCTTACATAGACATTAAAATTTTAGAATGATTCGCAGTATATCTGTAATTTCTATGTATTGGTCTGGGTGTGATTGTAGATATTTTTATAGCAGGTCATGATATGTTTATTTTCAGATTAATAAACATTATTCTTGGCATCACTCAAAATGTGCCATACATTTCTTTTCATAAGTCATAAATGTATATTATACATAAATGTGCCTCATGAATGATTAAATTTTCAATAGCACACATTATTCATAGTTTTAATTTGACATCACCAGATATTTCAACTTTTGGTTCAGTTAAATGTAAATTTTTGCAAATAAATGATATGTTGTGGATTCAGTACCTATACCTAGTTGTGAGTTGATTCCTATTGATCAGAGAAAGAACATTAACTAATCAATGTTATGCAGTGGAGTGAGCCAAAGAATAAGGTCTGCATAGGGACATAGGTTTTATTACATATTCTGTTACTTTAAGTTAAACAGTGTACCTGTAAAAGATGTCTGGACCAGTGTCACTTTTGTAGATATTTATGGACTGTGTAAGTTAGGTAGTGGTTTCCAACCTGAGAAGATTCCTTTGGAATTTGGAGCTAAGCTCTGAATGTAAGTGTACAGTTTAGGCACATGCAGGAAGGTTTCCTTTCATTAGGCATGACAAAACTGTTAGTGCATTGGATGCTGCTGTCTTTCATTCAGGAGATACATGGTTGAAATCTTTGCCATGACTAACTTTCCTGATATTTTGAATGGTTGAAAAGGTAATCCTGCATTCCTTGTAAACCGCTGACTCTAAACTTATTAAATAAATAGTATATTTATGAGCGGGGGGAAAAAGCGTTTCTTATCTGGTTGGTAGTGAATATAATTTTACAATTGATGATTTTCACAAATCCTTTTGAAATCGTGCATCTCAGTAAACTTGTTATAAGAATTTGAAAGAAAGTGTATTGATTATGTCAGTAAATCCAAGATTTTCCATAGTAATTTTTAGTTTTTATCAGTGAACTTCTGCTTGTAGTTCCCTTGAATTGTCAAAAGATTACAAATGAGGTTTCTTTTCACTAATACTGACACACCAAGCAATTGAAATTTGGATTTCATTGTGCCAAGGTTTCTTCATTTTTCTTTATTTCCATCTCTTTTGTGCTTACATGGTCATGCCTAGAAATTAATTTGATCATACATAACTTTACAAATGTTTTATTCATTCCTTTGTTCTGAAAGAAAGTTGATGGTATTGCAAAATGGAAGTATGAAGGAAAGAATTGAATTTTTGTGTACTTGATGTGAAGGTTGGGAACTACTCTCGTGTAAGATGCCGGTGGTATTCATATCACAGAAAAATGTTTAATTTACTTTTCCCATTAGAATTTTTTAAGATTATGGAAATTATAAGAGTAATCTTGTTAGCAAAGATATTTTATTGTTACGATTTAATATAAAGATGGTTATATTAGCTTGTATGTAGCACAGATGAAAATTTATATCCAAAGATATTTTACTTATGTCATGCTGAACTTATTGTAACACTTAAGATTTGATCATGGGATAACTCATCTTAGTCTGAAATTTTACTGTATTTTCAGTTGTTTTATATGAATTGAAATATATATGGAGAATATTTGAAAGAGCACTGTAGAAAATAAGAAAAAGTGCCCTTCATAGGATGACAGTGAAAGAAAAATATAATTAGATGACACAGAATATTGTGTAGAAGTTTATAGTATAGAGAATAGTGTCATTGCCAATTGAAATGAAGCAAACCATGCTAGTACAGAGTGTTAAGTGTTCTCAGAATAATAACACTTCATTTTGACTGACTGGTTCTATTGTTTTAAAGCGGGCCTTATCGTTGACAAAACAGCATGATAAAGGACAGATGACAACAGGATCAGTCCAACTTTTAAATTTCTGTCATCCCATTCATTATGATCTCCATATTGGATCACTGCATTACGATTGTTGATCCAATCCTCAGGAATATTGGTATAATTGTTAAACCAATAACAAGCCCATATATTTCTTTGCACCAAGTGAGATTTTTTCCTCACTCTGAAAGCATGTACAGTATTGTGGTCCTTACCACAGGTTTTAGATTTGTTGATCTGGTAGTACAAGTGGGAGTACATAGCAATATACAGTACTATATTACTTTACGGGGAAAAGGTTTCTTTCTTGTTATACGTGTATGCGAAGAGTTTAGTAACTGTATTACTTTGAACTAGTTAAAGATGAGTTACAAATGGGAATACATAACGGTTGATTGAATGTCACATGGTTTTGTATTCATTTTCCTTTGAACAAGGTGTACTGTTATTCCTTGAAGATCATGATTTGACATACATTATTTTTCATGCTGATTTCAAATGTGGTGTGTATAAATAGGTTATTTCCTGGACCTTTATTTCATGACCATGCATATCATCTCATACTGTGCTGATCCAAGCATGTAATATTACATACTGAAATATTCAAATGACTGTGGTCAGTGGTGGATTTTCAAGGAAAGTAACTCACCATTTACTGCAAGAGAGCTGTTGCAACTCTTTACAAATTCTTTCCATCTGTTTATGCAAGCAGGTTTAAACTTCATAATTAAGGTTTTGAGTGAAGTAGCATTTTGTGAGGAATCTTGACTCCACTACTGATTTGTTTATACATAATACAGTATTGATAGTTAAGTATTTACCTTGCCAGTAGTATTAGTGTAGGTTTTCACATTATGTTAATATAGAAACATTTTTATGATTTTATTGCTTGTTTTATTGTATAATAAGCATTTCTGTTTCGAACCGAAGTATTAGAGGACAAAGGCAAATGTTACAGTACTAGTTTTTGTAAGGGTCTTTCTGCTACCTTCCTATTCCTTTCTCTTCATTGCTGTGATGACTGGTGGCATTTGTGTCATGAGAAACTCATCATCAAAACAAGCTTCAGTACACATTGCATGCAAATATTTATATAGTTCACAGTTGAGGACAACAGAAGCAGGACCATGGGAAGACTTCTGGTGGATACTTGATGCAGTGGAAGAAATTAGGTAAATATTTATTAGGTTATATTATAAATTTCGAAGTGAAGCATCAGTCAGTAGTGTACAGAATTATTTATTGTACATGATATATCAGGATAAGGAAAACAGACCTGATTATGGATGAAATATAATTCGCTACTGTAATCTTGAGACTTGCAAGGAATGCAGGAAGTCCGAAGCATTAAAGGCAGACACTATCATTCCTCCACCCCACAAGTCTCAAGATTACAGTTGTTGCCTATAGATGTTCTTTTGCTACTTTTAGGAAAAATAAAATGAAACATTGCTTATAATTTTCAAATACTTTTTATTGCTTACATGTAAAGCTTTATTATTGTATCAGTTGAAGTTTTAGAATGATTATATTTACACATTCTCATCAGTATATTACATAATGACAATACATATGCAGCTACTGACATTTTGAGTGAGAAATCTCATGTTTTCAAGGAAAGAAAGTACCTGTATTGCACTAAATGTCTAACTGGAAACAACATTCACTATAACATGGGGTGTAACACATGCCTGGAGGCAGACAGCATGTACATTTATATAATACATTTATAGCTTTATTAATGTCAAATTGAGCTATTATTTGTCAACATAAACAATATTGTTTGTTGGTGATTAAAACAAGCATGTCATTCACAAATTCAAAGAAGTCTCTTCAGTCATTCACAGGTAGTTAAAAGCATGTTATTGTCCATTTTCAGTAACCTAGTGCTAAGCAATAGTATATCAAATTCACTTGACGTTCTCAAAACTCAGTATCATGTTCAAATTACAAGTTACGCAGACAGCTCTCAGTCATATTTAAACAAGTGTGTTACATATTTTGTTTATTCTCGGTGTGCATTTATGTGAGATTCACTTGCCTTCAAAGCCATTTACACATGCATAGGCTAAGTAAATGATGCAAAGTAATTACTGCAGTATGAAAATAACCTTTGGAGATTTCTGAATCATCATGATGGTGACTTATGATGGGAATACTGCGTACCTATTTTGTCTTCCAAGTTTCTCAAGCACTGAATTTAACATTTATGAGGGTCTTACAATGTTCTGTGAGATTTGAGATTCTCATAGCAATGACTGTTGATGCTAGTCTTCTGGGCACATGGTGTTACAACCCAGAATACCAACAAACATTTTAGAATGTCTGATTTAATTAATACATTCATAATTATTTTTCTAGAGAGATATTTTTAATGTTGTATAATTTATGCACTGAAGCCCAAAAGTGCAATGGAATTTTGTATTTTCTACAAAGATAAAATCCCATATATTGCTAAAGTTGTGCATTAATTTTCAGATAGTCAAATTCTCTGAAAAAGATAACCTTTCTCATTGCAGAATACAGATACTGCTGCTGCACTATGAGACTTGCTTGTTATGTATGCTTCACAACAGTTGTCAGCTAACCCTACAGTTTTAGTCATGTACAGTAATAAATACATATATTGATTTGATAGATGAACACCAGTGGGCTTGACATAATACAGGTTGACTCCTTATGACCATTAAATGTTGCACAGTGTAAGAAGTTTTAATATACTAAGATGTATACAAAGGTTATTTTGCAACATTAAAATCAGCATTTCCCAATTGGTTACTCAGCGATCAGCCCACATCCTGCTGATCCTGATGAAATTAATAATAGTTATAATACTTTTAAAATGTGTTACTTTCATACCATTGCACATTTCAACTCTACATCAGATTGTGGTCCACTGCCTTCCGTTTTCAGGGCAAGCAAACCCTCGTGTACAGCATATCATAATCTTTAGGACCCTTTGAAACAAAGCTCTATCATAAGTATTTTTTAAAGTATTCTCACATACCTTTGAAAATGAGAGCCACTGTCAATTCTAGCGCATGGAGGACTTTCATGGTAGAGATCTCAAATCCAAATGACTGTTTTCAAAACAGCCATTTACAAGGAAAGGCTTTCATACATTTTGCAACATCTGACCTTTTATTTGCTTCACCATATCCAGCTGTATACATACAAAGAACTGCCAAGAATAATGCATCCAACACTACCTTAACCTCTACATTCCAAACGTTAAAACTGGTTACTCTCATTCTAACAGCATGGAGGTCAGGATATCATGAACAGATGTCAACTGGATATAAAAATTGTCATTTAGGAGCTGAAAATGTGTTTAAACCATGGAACACACCTCTTGCCTCAGTAGTCCTCTGGCCCTCTTGTACTCAAATTAGTGATCACAACCTCTTACATAAATGTTTCATCAGACCTATTATAAGGCATCCACACCAGTACCAGTAAATGCCAAATAGATAAAATTATAGATGATTTTTCTATTTGACTTTTTCATATTCTTTACAAAGTTTAAACTTGGTCATATTGACCCTGGGCGGATTCCTCTATACTACAAAATACCAAACGCTACATAACAGAAAAATTTACACCAACTCTAGAAATCAGTGCCAACAATAAAAAAGTACTGCAGTTTATTTTAACATATTTTGATTGTAATTATAAATCTAAAGAAGGTAACTGTAATACATTAGAATATTATAAGAATATAATATATTCTATTATATGACATAAAAATATAGTAAGAAGACTAAGTATCTGAGGATATGTCACTAAAGATGCTGCAAAGACCAAGTTTCTATAATATGATAACCAATTTTAGCATTTCATGTAAAATATATAATGATCCACTTACATATGCACAGCTTTTGACTGTAGCTATGGCTTAATGATGTGGGATAAAACAGTCACTTGTACGGTTAAAGGCAAAGTCTCCATCTAAATGCAATCTCTGAATATTAAACTTACCAATTAGAAACCTAAGTCTTGTGCTGCTATTAGATACTGTATCATTATTCAAACTTACATTAATAAATTTAATTTGTATTTTCACACAATATGTTGTGCAAATGCAATCAATTCTATTTTTATATACTGATGTAAATGTATGGAAATTCCATGATAAAACTGAATATTGCTTTAGTAATATACTTAAAATAACAGATACAGAGCTCATTTCAATTTAAAAATTTGTGCAGTGAGAATTAGCATACCAAACAGACTGATAAATTGTATGACAAAGACTTGTGGAACATTCAGTGTTCACATAAAACAAATAGAAAATATTCACAACACCAAGTTTTATATAATATATGAAATGATTACTAATTCCTAAAAAGTTACTTTCCAAGAAGTAATTACCTTCTTTAGTTTTATCGCATAACAGTACACACACATCATTGTTACTGGCCCGTTTATGATGTCTAATATGAGAAACTTTCTGCTATTTCAGGTATGACGATAAATAAAAACAGTGAATATCTATGGGGCATATTTCATCACTCGTGGGCCAGTGGTATTACTACATGCGACAAATACAATCAGGCTGCCGCCGATTATTTTCCCTGTGTAAACGGCGAGTGGTTGTATCTCCATATTGAATTCCTGATCCAATCCTCTCTGGGTCAAGTTCACCTAATGAAAAGGATATTAAAACATGTTTAAAACAGAAGAATACTTTCTTTGAAGTTTTCTGAACATCCATAATTTATCTAAAGTAAGAATTACTATTTAGTGGACTAACAATAGCCAAGGTAGATGTTTGGAGGGGACAACTTGGATTGAGACAAGTTATGAGAACAGCCCAAAATTAAGTTTGACACGTGCTCATATATTGTCAAATCTTGACTTTTGTAAATATATGTGCTAGATGCTCATTTTCTCATCAGTTAATTTATTGTTTTTAGTTGCCTTTATATTTGTTAAGGGCATTAACAGAATTTACCATCAAAAGAAGGAAACACATAACTGGCCATTGAAAATATACAATTACTGCTGTCATGTGTGAACAAAACACAAATATAATGAACATTCCAAAGTGCACATGCCAACTGTGAAAATTTCTCATTTGTATATAAACAACAATAAACTCTGGTTGAATTAAAGAAATTTATTTTTCTAAAATACATACCTGTCTCAATTTTAGCTAGGATTGTCTTGGAGCATTTGAGAAATGCTTCTTCTACATTTTCGCCTGTTTTAGCACTCGTTTCTAGAAACATCAGCTCTGTAATATAAAGAATTAAAGTTTTATAATACAAACAATTAACGCAAAAACAGGTTATTTCTTGGTACAGTACCTTTACAGGGAAGATAAACACGTTCCAAAACTACTAACATCACCAAGGCCTGGAACATTTTGTGAAATGTATTAATCTGATACTGATGTCAGAGATCGGTTCTCAACATTTACTGTACTCAGTATCTGATTATGTTTTTATGTAAGACATAATTGTGCCTCAAGTATATGTCATATTCTTTTGCAGAAAGTAATTTACCTCAACTAAATACATTGTGAGATTTCAAGATCTCATGGCAACAAGTATGAAGCCAGCTGTCTTCTGGTTTATTGCACTGTGTAGCCTGGTAAAAGTTCACTGGTATTTTAGAGGTGGTTACTGCCTCCAAAACAGGTGTACACTTATACTACACTACACAGTGCAGGAAATCAGAAGACAGCCATCTTCAACATACACATTATAAAATAATATTTTTATTTTGTATTAATGTGTGTGTGTGTGTGTGAGACCTATGCGAAGTTCTGAAATGACCTTACAAAACCTGTATGCCATTATAAGGCACTGAACTTGACAATTAAGCTTACATTGAAAAGTCACATAAATGATATACTGAAGAGAGGAATTATTAAAATAGAAAAAGGCCTAACCATTTTCCTGTGCAAATCGGCTTGCCTCGAGGAATGTAACTTCTCTGTCACCATCCAGATCCCTCTTGTTGCCTACTAAGAGAATGATGATGTTTGGGCTAGCCAATGTACGTGCATCTGATAACCAATTTGCAAGAGCATTGAAAGTTTCCCTGTTGGTAATATCATACACCAATAGTGCACCTGCTGCTCCCCTGTAGTAGCTGCGAGTTACTGACCTTAAACAATAAATTATCATCAGCACACCACATTTGGCCCTCATTACATTTATTATATCCAGTACCAGTAACTCAGGATTATCACTTACTAATCACTGTGCTGCACACAGAATACAATGAACAGCTCCTGTATTAAATATAATTATAAGGTCAGCTGCAAATATTCACACCAATAAATACGAAATATACTTACAAAGCTTTGAAATATCATACCTAAATCTTTCTTGCCCAGCAGTATCCCAAATTTGAAGCTTTACAGATTTTCCTCCAACATTTACTATTTTTGAGCCAAATTCAACTCCGATTGTATGACTGCTGTCATCCTTAACTGCACATAGAAACATATTCTTCAGCCACAAATATATTACACATTACCATCAACAAAAAGTTGACACATGTTCGTATAGCATCAACTTACACTTGCTTTCAATAAACTGGTGCAACAGGCAAGACTTTCCCGATCCTGCACTTCCAATAACCAAAAACTTGAACAAGAAATCTGAAAATATTTAACAAAGACATATATTGCTTACGATATATAAATTTCACTTATGTACATACGTATATACCGCACAGAAAACATACCATACGATTCTGACATTGTGAAATTCCTTGAATGTTTCAAAGGCCTATATTAAACGTAATCTGATGGCAATATCTTAGACAAATCCTGTCACTTCTTCCAGATCTCTGAAGGTGCCATACTTCCAGTATTGTTTAAACATGCGGGAAAAGTGTCACAAGTCACAATTATTTTATTCCTGCAACTTCTTTAAGGCCTTAGCAGTTCAGCTTACGACTCTCAGGCGTTACAAAAAAAACTAAAAGCATGCGTCAACAATAATAAACCATTATTTTCTGTAGTCTTGATGTCAGTGAAAATAATTCTGACAGTGTCGATGCATGGCCTCGTTGAAACCGCGTAATGCTGCAGAACACAAAATGTGTAGGATGATAGGTATTCTGTGGGCAGGAACAAATTTGTACGTAGTGTGTTCAAAAAATATATATACTGTGCTTCTTTCTCTTATCTAAAATCCCCGTAGTCTGTTTAACGGTTTAGTATTTAACAACCATTTGTTTATGATATGACCTTTAGTGAGAGAATCATCGTTGGTAAAGAAAAACGTCGTACTCAGTTTTATGCGTGGAGTGTAGGCCTTATAGCGGGAAGCTGGAATTGTTGGTAAATAATCGGTGGATGGTGGTGTTGATATAACGGATTTGATCTTCCATGGGCTTGACTTGTGAATTTTGTACCTTTAGTTGCTTTACTTTTTTATATAGGTTTTATATAGTTATGTCATAATGGTACGGGAAGATATTCACAGTTTAATTCATTGTAACTTTCAACAGTTGCATTTCTTACATCCAATACCATTCACATTTAAGGAGGTATGTACTGATATTGAAAATACTGTATAATTTTAAGAGACTTGCTAAACGTATTTCGCACAAGCATTCAAACCTCGTATTGTTGAGAACGGATTTAGTCTGCCAACCTGATTTCTTAATTATATTTCTCTGTAGCTGCGTACTAATTAATCAATTAAATTAAATAAAGGATTATTTCTGATTGATATATTTCTCTTTTCAGGGAATGTTCAAAGTTCCCAATGTAAAGGGATTTCAGGATTCCATGCACTATTTGTTATCTATTGTTGACCCTGTGAAATGTGCAATGATGATCCCGTGGCCGTTGCTTGATAAGAAAGGAGAATCACAATTTCGCATCACAGTGAAAACACTTCTGATGGAAATAAATGGAGTAAGTGAATGAGATAATTTTATTTTTACTTTTAGTTTTTATTTTAATTGAATCACACAGTGAATACTTCAACTTATGACTGTATTTATTTTGCTTTGAGTTATATTTAATGGATTATTTGTATGGTAATTGATTACTTGATTATATTTCTAGTAATAGCACATGAAGGTTCAGCTTTGCTGTTGCCAAAGCTCAGTGGAGACACTTCTGAACCAATTACACATATTTTCTACTCTCACAATTTATTTCACTATATTCCATCTTAAATTTACTTCCCATCTCTGTCGTTACTGCTTTCCAAGAAGATTCTCACCAAAATGCAGTTTACATTTCTTGGTTCTCTTGTCTGGAACACACATCCAACCTATTATAACCTCCTACATATCATTAATCTGACTGGAAAGTGACCTCTATAAATTCAGGTTTTATCTAAATCATTGTTTCTTTTTAGGCTTATCCAGAAGCTAATTTACCCAAAATATTTCTGTCATTTTTTATGAATCCTGGTGGTGAGAAGTTTGCAAATTTTATGTGGAAACTGACAAAATTTGTACTTTTCCGGAGTCTTTGTCAGACATATGGTAAGTTGTGTAAAATTGGGTATGCAAATGTTATTGAGTAGTTCATTATTGGGTACATACTCATATAGTTTTATTCTTATGAAATAGCATTTATTTTTGAAAACTTAAACATGTATGTCTATTCTTTAAGTTAATTGAGCTATTATTTGGCTTTCGTGTAATTAAAATTCAAAATTATTCAGTAATTAATTTTTGTATTTTTTTTTTTTTGGAAATTTTTGTAAGGTCTTATTTAGGCTTGAAAAGTGTCATGTGAATGCTTCAGTTGAGTATGTTTTCTCTATCAATTGGAATATAATGTGTTGAGTAATTTACTTTTTATTTGTATGTCCATGTTCCTTCAGGTACGTCAGATGTGTTATTTCCACCCAGAACATTCAGCAATGATTCCTTGGCCAGTGCAAAGCTTAGTCTTGTCCAGGCAATGACAGAATGTACTACACAGAAGGCAATTGCAAATCAATTGAAAATTGACTCTTTAATGTCACAGGAATGTGAAAGGTGAATATCTGAGTTAACCAGATAATTTCCTTTGTACTTGGTTGCAAAGAATACTGTATGAATTCTTTATTCAGGTTTTAAACAAATTTTGACCAAGAAAGCATATTTATAGACATGTATGCAAGCTCAAGAAATATAGTTACCATTAGCTTTCAGAAATATGTGTTTTGTGAATATGGAGTAAATAAGGCTATGGATTATGTACTTGGAGCCCACCTGCTTTATGATATTTATGAAATTTTAGGCAGTGCAGTATACAACTAAGTGAACTGGAAGCCAGAGTAAAAACTTATGACAATCTGTTGAAGGAATTGGTAGAGGAGTTAGCTGTTTCCACAGAAATGAAAGAGAAACTCTCCTGCAACTTTTATGACAGCAGTGTTATTGCAGGTATGGTTCTTTCTTTTTAACTTTGTATGTCTAAGACAGTGTTGCGCACCATATTATGAAAATGGTTATTTCCATTCCAGACATGGAAAAGTTGACTTGTATAAATCATTAAGTTTCTTGTTTGTAATATTATAAATTGCTGACTTTACCATTTTAGGTTAAAATATTTATCTGACTATTTTGTTTGCAGACACTTACAATGTGTGGTCTTCTATCAGGAACTTATATTTCACTTCTATACAAAACAAGCAGCAACATTATTGTTTTTCATTTGTCTTTTTTATCATTTTGGATGATTTACACGATCAGTAATATCATACCACTGACCTTGAAGGACATCCTGTCATTAACAGACTACATTTTTAACTGCTGTTTCAAAACACTTCTTCACTAAAGCCAAGTACCTTTTCCGTTTGCATTGTAAAATATAGTTTCCTTTTTCCATGGTAGAACATGGTAGAAATCTGCCTTTTATGACTACCCTCAGCAGGCATCCTAACCTCCTTTATTCTCACTATATCCAAACTGCACACCATTGCCTCTAAACAATGACTGCCATTCATTCGCCCTGTACATTCAAAGTACCATTTCTCGTGTTCTTTGAATGTTGCCACCATGGGTTCCCAGTTCCAAGTATTTGTACAAGTTTTGTAACACAGATCATTGATACTGAAGAATTAAAATCCCTGAACTGGAGGACCACCGCTTGAATTGGTTGTCTGTGACTATTTATTTAGTATATTCACAGCTTCCTTCCATATCTGGAGTTGATCTGCTCCATCCACAGCATGAGAATGCACTGTACTCTGGTGACAAGGAAGCCACTTAACACAGAAAATTAGTATTAAAATTACAATGAATTACACTATTGTTGTTCCCATATCGAGAAACTGCATGGACCCATCATTACATTTGATAACAGGGAATTAGATAGTACGAAGAGTGGGAGGTCTCTGTTGGCATATTTATATGAAGTTTCATAAAAATGAATTAATTTTTCTTAAAAGTACTGGATTAGTAATGGACAGATCCTACTGTCTGAAGGAAAAACCTGATATGGTTTTACATTTCAGAGTGGGTTGCAGATGTGGAAGTTGAAGGCCGTGTGATTGAAGCTATTATACATGTTTTGAAGAAGACTGGAATTAATGTAACAAACTTACTTGATACCATCAGACTAGCTGAAAACAATGATGCATCTCAACTTTGCCTTGATGCTAATGGGTTTAACATCCATACTGCAAGCAGAAAGAGTATGGATAATGATTTGAAGGTAATTTTCATATTTATTGTGTCAAAAACAACATTTATTGAAACACATACTTTGAATAATGTCACCATATTCCGAAACATAGAACAATAATTATGAGATGGATAATATATGAAATAAGTGCTTTTGGAGCACCTGTCTAATCAACAGGAAATGCAGGTTCATCTCACATGGACAAGAATTTGTCTCTATGTTTATTTTGACATATGTATGAACAATAAGCTATGAAGTTCAGTTACTGTTTGTACTGTCAATTAATCATTTATTTATAACAGGAAATCATGAAGGAGATGCAAGATGGAAAATTGAGTGTGTCAGAATTTATCCATTCGTTAATTGGATTGCAAGCTTCACTGATTGATTATATTGATGGCAAGGGGTTGAAAAACATGACCATGGTGTTACCTGAATTGCATAGTGTTAAATCTGAATTTCAAGAACATGAAGTATTATTCAATGCTGTTGAAACCAAGCTGCAAGAGACATTAAACGAAGTCCAAAACAATTATGAAGCACTTTGTAAAGGTACAATAGGCATATTCAATTTTTTATTTTCTTTTGTAAATATGTAAGTAAATAGAAGTATTATTAAAATGAGCAAATGAAGGTGGATGAGATGGGTTTTGCATGCACATGTGGGGAAGATGAGAACAGTATGCAAAATGTTTGGTTGGAAAACCACTTGGAAGACCTAGGCATAGGTGGGAGAATGAAATAAAAGTGACTCTTATGGAAATAGGATTGGGGGGGGGGGGGGGGGGGGGGATTCATTGGCTGAAGATAGTGGACCAGTGGCAAGCTCTTGTGAACACTGTGATGAACCTTTGGGTACCATAAAAGGCAAGGAATTATTTGACTAGCTGAGCTCAGGGACTCTTCTTCATGCAGTAACTTAGCAATTACCTGGATGGAACAGTGAATTACATTCACAGAAAATTTGGCCGTTCATGTGGTGAAGGGACAAACAATTTGTACAACTTATCTTTCTGTGGCCAGCAGTGTTGGGCTGTGGATGGAGTTGGAATAAGTAGTAAGTTGAAATTTTTTCTTTCTGTTTTTCAGAATTTAGGACTCTGAAATCCAAACCCACAGCAGCAGTAGAAATGTCATCTTCCATTATTTCTTCAGAAACTGCTAGTACCAGTACTGATGATGTATATATAACACATCAAACACCAGTTCGTGGTAAGACTTATTTTAATCAGAGATTTTATTGAACATTTGTGTTGTGTTATTTGAACCAGGATAGTTCATAAATCCAGCAGTCTGTCCTTGTCCTGTGCCTGCTCATCCAGTTCACATCTTTACAACTTATTTGTCTAAGTTCCATTTTACGAGGCTCGTCCACAAAGTAAGTTTCCCTGGGGCCGTTTACAGAAATAAAACACAATTTCATGGAAATATTTATTGCAACAGATACAGCAAGTGTCCAGCTATTTTTCAACATATTCGCCACCGGAATTGAGACATTTGTCATACCGTGGGACCAACTTTTGAATCCCTGTGTCGTAGAAGCCGGCCGCCTGGGATTGGAACCACTGTGTGACAACCACTAGCGTTATCACTGACCGCACTTCACAGTCGGCGGGAGCTGGAATAAGAACCTCCATCTTCAACAGCTGCAACGATGCTACTGTGAGAACGCGGGAAGTGCCGTTAGTGCATGCGCCATGCTACGTCATTGCTCTATCACGTACGCACAGTTGCTTCGCGCAATATAAGGTTTGCTAGCTGTGGGACGAGTGGGAAACTTACTTTGTGGACGCGCCTCGTAATATTATCATACTTTTCATCCCTCAGTCTTCTGATGTTCCTTATTGTTAGTTTGAGGCTTTTTTACTTTTTTAAGATGGCTGTCTTATGGGTTGTAGCGTCTTGTACTCTGGTAGACGTTTTCTGATGGTTCAGAGGTACTTGCTGCCTCCATCATCAGGGTGATGACTACGCTTATTGCCGTGATCACGGTGGTTTCAAGTAACTCAGAAACATCAGTAAACTTATACCAGAACACATGGCACTACAATCCAGAAGACAGCCATCATCATACTTGCTGCTGTGAGAACCTCAGATCCTACTTTTTAATTTTTGTTTTCAGGTGTTAATAGAAGTTTGTGTGTCAAACAGACTGAGAATGAAGCTGTTGTCAACATAAAACTTGATCCTCAACTTCTACAAACACCAGAGTTGGAGAGAAAATTGAACAGCCCACTGCATGTGGCTAACAAATCAAGGACCAGAAAGGAATATGAAACCCCAGCACGCAAAAGTATATATGTATTACCTGCAACAACAAGCAAGACGTCATGTGCCACTGATTTACGTTCTCTTACTAGTTCACTTATGAAGAAGAAAAAATCTGTAGAAATAACACAGCAGTTCCAGTCTGTGTCAAGACCATATATGGTTAGTATTTACATTTATTGGATTTTCTTTATAATAAATAGAGATAGTGTCCATCTGGCCACTGGTCCATGATCTTATATCGGCAGCAGTCTTGGTCACTGGATTTTAATTAAATGTAAGATTGAATATTTGTATAACTTCGATCAGTTTGCTTGAAGGGCTGTGCAAACTCTTCAGACAAAATGGACAAAATTATCTCCATCTTAAGGGTTGGTGAGGAATAGGGTTGAAGATAGAAGCAGCATGTTCCTCCAAACAATTAAAACAGTACATGGCACAATAAAGCCAGAAGACCATTAACTTAATACTGACATGCCTTAACAAAATGAAATTCCATACTTTCAGCTTATAATGGACCACTTTGTTGGAATTTTATAAATTTAATTTTAAAATCATTTGTGTGTGTGGAAGGATTTTTTCACATTTATGAAATGTGTAATTGATTAAAGTTTTATTATGAAACAGAGTCATGATGCTAGAAGTACATCATCTGTCAGCAAGGAATTGTTTGAGGAGTCTACAAAAGAAGCAGGGGAGAAGGTAATGAGTTATTTATGAATAACAAAATTTATAGAGATTTTTCTGATGTTAGTGTTTAATGTTCACTTTGTTAGAACAAAAATCATGTTAATCAGATTATCACACTAAATCTTGCATCTACTCACATGGTATGTTGGATGAGCAAGTCATTAAAGTCACCATTTGCAGAGATTATGTGGCATTAATGTGTGTGGATGATTGTAGTGGTAAAATGGATGTGCTTAAAGTGGTCATAGTCTGTTTCAAAGTTCTCTTCCAGGATTTGGCTGTAGGGATTGATAAATACAAACAAAACACAACTTACCTAGGGTATTAATTTAGCAGAATTGTCATATTTTATGACATGATATGTAGTGTAATTGTATATTGAAGTCCTGTAATATTTACTACAATTGTAATTGTTGTAAATGTCTCCAAAATATTCTTCCTGAAGTGTATCTTGTTCCACTTTGTATATGGCATTTTACATTTTTCTGGTTTTAATTGTGTGTATGTTTTCTGATTTAGTTTTCTCACATTCCTGCGAGTTCATATGATAATGAATCTTCAACACATTTTCTTGTAGATGACTCTTTAGATGGTAAGTCATAACTCAGTAGTTAGAGTAGTTTAGATATCATTAACACCCATAATACTGAGTATGCTCTACAGAACAATTACAATGAGAACATGATTATAAAATAATTGCAGTAGACAGCACTTAAAATTATTACTAGTTATTACAATCAACTGCCTTATACAATCTGGTTTCTGAGAACAAATTCATTGCCTCTTGGAATAATTTTTTTTTTTGTTATAAGAGTCAAACTTTGTGTAAAGTACAGGGGTAAATACTGTCTTTTGAACAGTATGCCTAATGTGGTCCATGCAACAGTAAGTCTCAGATGTTTCATTATGACTGTGCATAAGCACCATGCCAATGAAATGGGGCAAGTAGAAGGGAAAAGTCTACATATTTTTAACTATATGAAGGTGAGTTCAGCTTCATCATCCCCATTCCTCTCCATAAAGAGAAGCCTTGCTACTTTCATATAGGCAGCTTGGTCTTAAAATCAGACTTTCACGTATAAAATATCTATGTGCATTTTATTGTACAGTTGTGTGGATGACATTGCTTCCTTAATTTTCAGATATAATTGAAAGTGACCATTTTCTTGCTGTATCTGAAAGTGATGTGACATCATCTCCAGCATCATTGCTTTGTTCCCCACCACTCATAGAAACAGAGGAAGGTACAAGCAGGAAAGAAAATCGACGGAAGTCACTGGATGTTTTCATTCAGCGTTATCTCAAATTTCGACATAATGCAGAACTTACATGAGATTTAAGATGCTCATTTATTATTAACAGTTGTGTGCTGAATTGTATTGATTAAAACAAGAGACTTGTTCTTTCTGTTATAAAATAAATGTTTTATGCTGGTAAACTTTATAAAAGAAGTTCCTTTATAACATTATTCAGTGGTACACTTCAGTTACTGGATGTTCTTTATGTGAAATAGAAAGGTAAACACCTTGTGTGTATGTAGGCTAGTAGTATGAGTAGCAGTAATATTTAACAGTTTTTTATGAATGCTTATATTAAGATCTAAAACAGAATGTTACTCCAGAGAGATGCTTTTGGATCATTTTAAGCTAATATTTTGGATAGAAGTTATAGAATTGAAGAAGAAATATTGTATTCTGTATATTTTTGAAGCAGTAATTATTTTTTTATTATATGAATGTATCTTCAAAAATATCTAATGTAAAAGTACTTTTCCTCTGTCTTGAGAAAAGGAAAGTGGCCAAAATAACAGTGATGAAATACATTTGTCAGTTGTTGAAGGGCTGTAAATACAGATACCACTTATTTATGCTTGTTTAGTTGATAGTCAATCAGGTGGTTAAGAATGTCCTATTATGAAATCCATAGAAACATCACACATGTTCACAGCAGTCAACAGTTGGACATTATGCTGAATCAGTTTTATCTCTTTTACTTTCACAGCCTGTTTTTATAAAACCCTTTATACTTTTACTTCGTCGAAAGTGGTTTCCTTGATTGCGGTTTTCCAACCAAAGTTCTGTATGCAGTTCTTGTTTCCCCCAAGTATACCACATGTTTGATTCATTTAGCATTGATGAAATGCCTTAATAATAAATTAATTTTAAAATCTGTTAAGATTCTAATTTAATTTTCTTTATTCCTCTGTTACTTTGTCATGATTATACATTTTCTTTTCAGCATTTAAAAACCTTTGATCTCTTGTTATTCCTTCAGAACAAGAGACAGTTTTACATTCACATAGAACCTTAATAATATAAAAATGTAAACACTTACTTGAATGTTGTTTATATATGGTGAGAAGTAAATTACAAATGTAATACTGTGATCTAGTTAAATATTAAAAGACAAAATATTTTGGTAGGATTTGAGGTTTTTATGTGATGAGTCCAAAGATGGTCATCATCTGGATTGTGGCATCATGTAGTCAGGTAGAACTTTACCACCAATTAAAAGGTCCTTGCTGCCTCCATCATCAGGATGAAATATTTCACATCACTGATGGTATTTGATCCTTAAAAGGTTGTGTTCTGTTTTAAACTTATATGATACATGCTGCACTAGAAGAAGCCAAATCAGAAACTGTCATACACATGGACACCTCACTTATTTCATGTCAAGATGTTATATTGTTTGATATAGGTATGCATGAATCTTCTTCCTTTTTAAGGTTTGGGTACTGATTTCCCCATTCCAAATCAAAGACGTGGATCTATTGATCCTTCCACCTACTTGTACGTCGCCCAAGGTCTGTTCTTCCCTTTGGTTTGTATTCCATAGCAGCTTTGGGAAGGCTTTTTGGGGTGTTTGTTAATATTAAAATATAAATTTAAAAGCAAAAAATTATCCAGCTCCTAACACCAAAAATGAATGCCTAGCAGTACGTGCAGTCATTGGGAAGCGAGGATAGACCTGTAACTTCACACATTATAATGTTTGCCTTGTGCATTTCAATATAAAAGACTAATATAATACAATACAATGAACAATTCATAATGAGATAACTGTAGTTAAGTGGCAGTTCCTTTGTTACCATATGTTGCATTTGCTGCAGAACAATATATTATTTGGAAGTTAAAATTATTTTATTTACGGTATAGATCCACAGTGCATTATTTTATATTTAACGCGTTGTTTTTGTTATTACTATTATTATTTTTATGTCATCTCAGCACATACAGTAGTGAACATATCAATTATGCAGTATATAATCGTGAATCTTTGCTCCACGTTGAGTGAAAATATAAAGTATCCTCAGTATCGCTTGCGGGAATTTTGAAACTAGTATGTTGGTTCAATACGGACACTAGGCAAAATGATTGTACCAAAGCCTTATTTGAATAGCCATAGGCGCTTTTGGCATTGGTTAAATATTGTGTGGAATAGGTAAGTTTAACTTGGACTGTAATGTAGTTTATCCATATATTAATCGTAATTAAATGTTCCTTTACCATTAATTAAAACCATAATGGATTCGATTCATAACTTTTTGATACGAAAGAGAATTATTACTTATTTGGTCCAATTATATATATGTATACACACATACATATAATATACACACATATACATACACACACTTCTTGAATTGCCTTGATTTCACGTAAAGTGCTAAGTAAGGTTATGTTATTTTAGAAAATCACAACCAAACATTCATCAAGTTTCCGAGTGTGTAAGGTCTTCAGAAAGAGTTTCAGGAGCAATTCGAAATCTGGCATTTTGTAACTCCATATTCTTGTATAATGTCGTATTTTTAACTACACCAGTATATCTGTAACATCACATGATTTTTTTTTTATTAAGTTACTAAAATGGAGGGGTTGTGAAGTGAAGCACTCTTCTTCTAGTGCAGTTGTTTCATTGTGTGTTTCCTCCACAGTTCATATAGATGTTTGTGATGAGGCACTTAGTTAAAAGAATAGTCTTTGGAACATATAAAGAAATGAGCAGGGTAGAGAGTTTAAGCCAGGTTCTCTTGGTGGTCTGTCTTATTTTATTTTGCAATAGATGTATTATAAATATGTATGTAGAAGAGTTAGACCTAACTCAATCCATTATGACTTAACTGACCTCCAACCTGTTACTCCGTAGTGTGTTCAGAAAGTGTTTATGTGGATCATTTAATCTTAATAAAATTACGAATATTTAATATAGTTTACCATTCTATATTTAAGCATAGCTTCTATAACATTATGTGTAAGGCAAAACCCATCCTTATATTCATAGATTTACTTTTATAGCAGTAAGTAAAGCAGGCCAGATAATGAGAAAGTGGAATGAAACATTGTGAGATAGGCCTGTTAGTTACCATGCCATTTCTTCTATGCATAGCAAATTGTGAAGGTAAGTCCTGAGCTATTGGCTCTTTTGTATGCCAGAACAAGTTGTCCTAACATTTTTTTTTGTTTATACACACAGGCTAGTTACCCGACTAAAGGATTTCCTGATTCCCTTAAGAAATTCAAGGATAGTACAGATGACTCTTGTTATGTGTACTTTCATTACCCACAGTTTTATTTCAGTATCATGATAGCCGCAGTCACCTAACTGTAACCATAGTTGAAGTTGTCATGTAGGCCCAATAAATTATGTGTGCAGTTTCACTGACTCACTGCACCATTCTGATATTACAGGTCTACAAATAAAGGCCTTTCAAGGTGTACAGCTTAGAAAATCCTGTTTTGAATATTTTTTATATATATTTACAGGGATATAGCCCCATCATGTGAGTTACATGTACCAATTTATTTGTATTTTCTTCATCGCCACCAATAAAGTGGGACACTGAAAAGGAGGGGTAACAAAACTAACAAGTAATTTTATGTTTGTGTAATTTTTGCTTTTATGAAGGTAATATCTCTTGCTTCAGAGTCGATAATGAACGAATTGCAAAAGTTGGCCCTGATAGGGCATGTGCAGAATGGTTAATGCGTAATGGAGCCTTTGTTAAATGGACTGATGACTGTGAATTCCTGAAAGATTATAATGCATTACCTGCAGAAGAACATGTAAGGTATATTCAGAAGATTGATGCTACAGACTCTTCAATTATGCACTATGGGTTTGGATACTTCAGTGAGTACTTTTAAATAATGTACTTTAAATAGCCCAGATATGTTTTAGCAGTCACTAAAATAAATAATGTATGTGGTCAAGCATGTAGTCCTGAAAGTGCTGGGGCAGTCTCACAGAGTCATAAACACTCTAAGTACGAGGCGCGTCCACAAAGGAAAGCTTTAACAGGCTCTGTAGGTACAAAAGGTACCAGACATGCTGACTGTGTCCCTCACCGAAGAAAAACCTTTTCTCTTTATCAGAACCAGACACGTGATCAGACGTGAATGGAAAAGAAATTACCTTTAAATGCAGATACAGACAAAGAAGCTTTGTGTAGTCGGTGAGCTGTATAAGGCAATTTGGACTTGTGTAACAGACGGGTAATAACGAACACGTCTTTTGAATTGAAATAAATAGTACGAAAAAGAAACAGTAAGTTTCTGAACGGTTGTGGGATTTATTCTTTCATTTAAAGAATTCCATCTGAATAGTGAAGGTATCTATGTTTTTGAAAAGTTTATAGTTGCTCAGCTGACTAACAAATTGTCTCATTTTTATGGCACTCGTGAGTTCATTACCGTGTTCACAACAGCCTGCCACTGAAACTTGCCCTGACCGACTAAAGTAAATACGTCAGGTTAGACTGGCACTACAGTGTTACAGATACACCTGTGCTCATTACTCTAACATGCTAGCAACTCTTGGGAATTCAGTCCCATGAATCCTTGCAAGGTGGTTAGCTAGACCCATTGCAGTATATGGTAGGAAACTTTATTTAACATTACACAGTGAATATATTTTTAAACTTGTATACTCTGACATGTACTGAAATGCTTAGTAGGCAGTAACTACTCGTCTTTCATTTAATAATACAGTAAAACCCCTCTAGTTGGACACCCCTATATCCTGGACACCCCTTTATATTGGACACTTTTAATTGGAACCAGCGAATATCCTATAATTTTACATGTCCACAATACCCTATATCTTGGACACCCCTTTATCCTGGAACTTGAACACCTCTTTTGTTGTAAGTTGGACAGGTTCATGCACTTAACCTCGATGCTTTTCAGGGAAAGTTTTTCAGTTACATATTTTGTTATTTTGAATTTCTGACTGATGAATGCCTCCTCTCTAGAGGATTGTCTTATGGACATTGAACCCAGCATTGGAATGCATTGCAAGTGTTTAACCATTCTTTTGCTGAACCCTTAACTGGACTACAGTATTGCAGAAGACACAGACTGTGCTTGCATTTGGGTTCAGACTGTGTTAACAGAAATGGAATTTTTGTTTTTGCGATGGGGAAGCGAAAATTAGTGGAATTAACTTTAGAAAATGTTATTGAGGCTGGGGTGTAATGTGCAATGCATGGGAGTGGGCTTCAAAAGATTATTATTAATACTATTGTCATTAATTCTTAATTTAAGTAAGCCTACAGCAGTTAGTGTATGTAAGTAAATAGACCATATTGTCATTAGACCACAATCGATATTTATCTTTCCCTCTATCTTGGACACCTCTGTAAGTTGGACACATTTTCGTGGAACCACAAGTGTCCAACTTAGAGAGGTTTTACTGTAACACTTTCCTCTCATGTACACTTTGTCTCCCAATTTGTCTCATCCTACTGGACCTTCCAACCAGAATTTTATATTTCTTTGTTTCTTTCATCCCACCTCCTGTGCTGCAAACACACCCATCTCATCTCTTTCATGATTTAATTACCATAGCAGTAGGTAAAGGGAACAAAAATTGCCACTAAATATGGCAAAAACCTAATGTTATGGTTAACACTCATGCTTCATATTCAGGCGGTCCCAGGTTCAAATCTCAGTCTGGAGACCAGCTATCCTGACTGGGGGTTTTCATTGTTTTCTTCAGTCCTCCCAGGCAAATGCCATGGTGGTACCTTAAATTAGGCCATGACCACTTCTTTCCACATCATTTCACTTTCATTATCACCCTTTCATTTGACGCTTTATAGTCAGAACTACTAATAAAGCATCATTAAACGAACTACAGAATAGAAAAAAATATGGAAAAAGTAATGTTATTAATATTTTTTGTACTTGGCTCCTAAATATTTGTTTCTTACACAGAATGATAGGACATTATTTTATTTCAGCACATAAATATGCAGAATACTAATTTCCAACTAGGTAAATATTCCATATCAGCATGCCTTTATATTCTAATGACAGGTTTATATCATGTATCATTCCAGATGGCTGTAAGCATGTAACACATGTAAAGTTCCATCGTTGCTTGTATTTAGAGAATGAAGCTCTGGAAAATCTGTCATATCTTAAGGATTCACTGCAAGTTCTACAAATAATCAGTTGTGGAAACATAACTGATAAAGGCATAAAATCTCTTCAAATATTAAGGTTGGTATTTGTATGTGAGACAATTTTGACCAGTCATCTCTCATTATACACCCACTCCTCGCAATACAAATTGACAGTAGTAATGAAATATTTAATATCTGAGCCTTATCCAGAATTTAATTTTGTTTCAGAGGAACAGGTTAACAGAAAAGGAAACCAAACTTTGCATGTTATTCTTTTGGACAGGCAAAAACTTTTGTGTGCTAGCATCAGCATGAATGGTGGTCATATTCAGTATATTTTGTAACACTCAAGTCAGAATTCCAATATTACATATGGTTCCAAACTTCAGGGACATGTTTTGGGATAATACCTTATTATAGGCCATGACCTCTTACAGACATATCCTTTTCAGCACACCATTCTCATTCATTCCATGCTTATTCAACTCTGTATATCTGAAATAAATGTGTGGGTGTGTGACCTAAGAAACAAAGCATAGCTCTTTGCCTCATCATGCCAGACATTTGGTATAGTGAAGAGGCTGAGACTGAACTCATTATCGTACCAAACTACACCTCTGTTACATGTAATGTCTTCTGTGAGTGAGAAGACTTCATTGATCTATAAGTATGTGGTCTGTATGTCCTTATAAAACTCGTAAAGTGCTCAGCTTGGAACTTAGATCTGGTTCTGTGAACTATACCTCTTAATTACGTTGATCTGTTACTGATAAGTTTTCTCCATTATAGTTTTTGTCTTCTTACAGTAAACTCTTATCATTACACATATATGGTTTGCCATATCTGAAGAATAAAGAAGAATGTTTGGCTGTATTGGCATCAAATTTACCAGAGTGTAATATTGAAATTCTTGACAGAAAACCAGATCATCAGTGTGAACAAGCAGAATAGACACCAATGATACTGCAGTGTGATCTACATGGTTGTATAGCATTAAAACCATTTTGAAATAAATGTTTGTTCATGAAACATATTTTCTTATCATAGAAAACAAAGGTTTCTTGTAGTTCAAATACATACACACAGAGTGAAAGTTTGGAAATTCTAGAAACCATGGGAGTAGGCCTAGAGACAAACATACTCCAGAGTTATGAAGAGTGAAATGGGATTTTATCAATATTTCTTTTTTATTCTGTTGAATTATTTGACTCTGCATGTAAATCGAACAGTACCTAAAAGGACAGTGAACAGGACATAAACATAGACTTGTAGATATGAGGAATTCTGAATCTTAGTAGGCTAACAAACAGATGAAGCAACAGATACATGCTCTGTACAAGTTTAGAATTAGCATTGGGTATATGTATAAAGATTCAGGTTTGGAGTAAACTATTGGAATTCCTTGAGAAATCAGATTTAAAAATGGAATTCCTATAATTGAACTGTAATTGAATGCAGAATGAATGTATTTGTGACATTTATATAATAGTATGACTTGTATTTGTATAACATGTATTGTATTATTATGACTTATTCTACATCCTATTGTCATCTGACTAACTTATGGATCCATGGAATGTAATAAAGATGTATGTCTGTAGAGGAAGGGGTTTAAATAATCAATTCGATCCATACAAGTGTTATTTAAATAGGTGTATAGATGCTTTGGTTTTGATGATAAATCTTTTATTTTCACTTACTCCTACATGTTTATTTCATTGTGTTTATGTACCCATCAGTGTAAACCTGAAACTCATTAATCGTGATGTCAGGATGTAATCGATTGACACAGAAGTTTATCAGAGCAATGAAACTACAATATTCAGCAAAAGTCATACTGACATTAATGTAATACAATGTTCTGCTGGTGGTCCTCCCAACCTAAATTGCTGTGCAATTGTGTCAGAATTATACCCAGTGTTTTCCTGTATTGTTTCTTAAATATGTAATGCGATACAATACTGAAGATGTACTTGTTATGAAAACGATAAATAATAGAAATATATTGATAACTTTCCAAGGGAGTTATTGAACAAGCCTTGCTGTCTACAGTATAGTCCTTATAATCTGTGACAGGCGGGTTGAGAGGAGAGGTTTGGTTGTGGTGGCATTCATAGAAATTTTGAACCCTTATTATATACTAACCAGTATAGTCAGCTTTAAGTCATTCCCTTTTCAAAACATGGGGAACATAAAATGCTCGTTTTTGAGCATATTAAATTTGGAAAACAAGAATATCTTGCATCACGTTTTATTTAAGGCCAACGTATGAAACGATAAACAGTCTACAGAATATCTTAATACTGTGTTAAACTTTGCCGAATTATTTAGAATGAATTTGTAGCATAAGTTCGGTAAATGGGTTTATTTTATTTCTGGATTCAACGAGGATACAAACACCGACAATGAAATGTTCGATTTCAAGCGTTGGTCAATCTGTTGCACGGATGTGTTTTAATGAATCAGCCTTGTGACATAAGAAACAGAACAATAACAAAACATGGCTGGGAAGAGTAGAAGTTTTCGAATAGAAACGGAAATAGAAAAAAGCAGGGAAGAATCTAATTGGAAGAAAGTTATAGATTTAGCAGAGCAGTTGAAATTAAGGTCACCAAATTCAGGTGAGTTACATAAGTTACGTATTTCGTGAGATTTTGGTTTGGAAGTTCAAAGAGGTTATGTATGATTATGGTCCATTCTTTCAGCAAAATATATAAGCAATTTAATTTCAACTTAAACATTTTTTTGTTAAAAAACATCGCCTTTATAAACTTTATAAATTAATTTCGTGGCAAACACAGTTTAATTTGACTGTTTTATTGCATGAAATTAGATACTTGTTTTCTTATTTTTTAGAATATTTAGCAAATTTCTTAATTGGTGAGGGGAAACTGGAATCGTTTTTGGAAGAATTGCCACCGACTGATGCAAATATAAGTAAAGCTCGTACAGGTTTGACAGATGCCAAACGATATTTGTTGAGCACTGCAAGTGAACAAGGAAAAAAGGTAATCTGATTCAATGTACCAGTTTTACCTACATTGAATTATTGTTTATAATTTTCTTTTATCAGAATAGAATCAAATATCTCTTCATGTTTTAAGCACATTTGTTTTCTTGTTGTAATGACTTTGTACTTGTGTTTAATATTATAATATAATGTCCTTGATTGTGTGCTGAGGGGATTGTCAGCAGAGTAAAGTGTTGAGGTACACATGAATATTGTATGTTTAGTGGTTTTGTACTGACAATGCTATTGAACCTTATTGCTGATGCTATGTATTTTGTAGCTTGTACATTAATGAATGCTCTGAAATGTAGGCTGGAGTTATGTTGGATTCTAATCTGTTGCTTGGAAAGCTCCACTATGCAATGGGAATGTATGAAGATTCTCTTAATTACTATAGTCAAGCAGAACTTCAAACTCTTACAGAGAAACAACTGCCTAGTAGGAGTTTACGGATAGTTGCAGAATCATATGCAATTAAAGGTAAGTGGAAATGTAGATACTTGTATTAGATTTATTAATTCATAAGCTGTTCAACAATGCTGTACTAACAGCAGGGAGGAGAGGAATAGGAAAGTTTTGTTTACTGTCATGGTTTCTCTTCTCTTCTCCTCTATTCAGACCATCCCAAGCATCTTTTTGCTTTTATTTTTTATTATTAGTGTTCTGTCTGAGGACAGGTCCATATGAACAGGATCCTTCCATCCTTTTCTCGGACTGGGACCTGTTCATATACGTTCTTGGCAGATGATCCAGAAGTGGTTTGCCATTGCCTTCTTCTGGGTGTGAATGGAGTAATTGTGGGGATGCCACGGAGGAAAACTCCGTGTTGCCTAATCCACGGCCTTGCCCAACACAAGTTATAAATGCGGGCACCGCCGGGAAGTCTTTTTGCTTAGTTAATGTTTTATAATTTTTAGTGGAATCATATGCAAGATTTTTTTTCAAAGTTTATTCCATTTCTAACTCCATGCAATGAATGAAGTCCCATCAGTTGACCGTTAACCAGTATGTGTTAAGTTTACAAGTATGCTTGTTTCCTTTCAGCCTCAAAATGGGCTTTGAGTACAGTACTGAAGTAAAGTAGTACAGTTATATGTAGTACAGGCTTAAAACACTCCTGTCAGTGCTGGTCTTCTGGGTTGCAACATACTGTCCCCAAAATGTTGGTTATTTACCTACAAGTTTACATGACTTGACAACCCAAAAGACTGGCAACATCTTTATCACCATGAGAACCTCAAATCTCACAAACTCCTGTTGAAAGACTTTTGTAAGTCTAAATATACTAACTCTGTACTAACTGTGCATGCAAGAAATAGTTTATGTGGAAGAATAAAATGGTAGTTGCATATTCAAGGATGAGATACATACATGCAATATCTAGCTCTATCAGCACATTTGATAGCCTGAACTTATATAATTGTAAACCAGCTGTTGCAGACTGTAACTTTTGTAAGACTCATTACTTATATAAAACAGATTAGAAACAACTGGCCAAGGAAATTTCTGCATGTTTCTATAAAAGTGTATTATTATTTAAAAGAGAAGTATATGAATGACAAAATATATGAATATTGGTTTCTGATGCATATAATATAAATTATCTCATCTGTTGAAGTTGTCTTCTGGATTGCATTATTGTGTGCTTGTAGGATCATTCTACCTCCATTTTCAGGGTTGAAACTGATGGCAATATGTTACTCTATAATGTTGGTATCTGCATGCAAGTTTGTACAGTGTTAGAACCCATCTGAAAAACATCCATATCACCACTATGAACACCAGAAATATTATCTATTACTGTAATTAAAATTATTGTTTGGTACAGAAGTTTTGTATTTTTAATTCAGTGTTTATTTTCTTGCTAATTGTGTGTATGATTTAGTAATTAGTTTTATGTTTTGTCTTATTCTGTGTGATAAATTATGCTCTTGTTATACCATTTTACTTTTCTTGAATACCCACATGGACTACCAGTGGAGCCATGGCACAGGCCATGTTAACATATATTACTCTTTATATCTCTGAGCTGTTTTTAGTAATTTTTTATTAAATAATGATTTCAGTGTAATTGTTTAAGTGCTGTGAGTGAGTATCTTTCTTTTTTCTCCTCCATGTATTGTATTCTATATCTGTCACTTTGAATTTTTGTATCCTGTTGCTGGAACAGGTATGTGTTTGGAGAAAGTGCCTCCATCGTCATCTTCCAAATACAAGCAAGCTGAGTGGGATGAGCAGAGAGTGAAATGTTTTGAACTGGCTGGGGATCTCACATTGCTTTACCTTCAGGAGCAAGACAAGCTGCAGCAGCAGCAACAGCAAATCACAAACACAAACGCAGGTACCAATTGAATAGTATCAATATTAACATTAGATATAGGTACTGACCTGTTTAATTTTTTTCTCTTTCTCTATTTGTTTAATGACATTTAGCCTTTATTGTGGAGGATTTAAATTCCTTAACACAACTTCTCAGCTGAGTTTGAGTTATTTAAATTCTTTAAAGTCCATAATATAAAATAAGTGGTATTTATTGCATTTTTTAAAACTGAAGCTCAATAATAACTGAATTATTAAGAATGAATCTGTTTGCCTGTATACAATGTTTTTAAATTTCCAGTCTTTATTTATGCAGCTTAGTTTGTGTTCCTTTTCAAATATTTCAATTATTTCACACATTTTGGTTGCTTATTCTTACAAATACTGAAAGAATCTTAGATTTAGAGGACCAGAAATATTTGAAAACAGCTATATTATGTAGCTGGAAAACTGTGACTTTATTTTTTGTCATAAATACATCCTTTCCTTCAGCCAGATATTGCCAGATTTATCTTATAGATCTTCACAGTGAAATTTACATAAAGTTCATATAGGCAAACACATAATAAAATGATGGCTGCACATGCAGCAATGGCAGTATTTACTAGAAGGATGGAAGGTTTTGGACATAGACTGTATATGAAGAATTTATTATTCTATTATGATTTGTTCAGTGATTTATATACTAGGAAATAAATTGTTTCAGTAGTCAGATCTTTGCAAAAGAAACTTGAAATGATGCAACATCCAGATAGGGATGGGAACAACTTGATAGTGCTGATGTGGTGTGACAAAAGTGTAAATTTATTAATAAATATACATTATCCTCCAATGGATGGAGATTTTGGTGATGAGAATTCAAATTCTGAGAAATCATTAGTAAATACTCCAGAATTACAGCAGGTAGACCTGAAAATTGACTAAAAAGCTGCTTTTTCACCTGCTTGATCTGTCAGTCCTGAATAGCTGGATCCTCCAGAACTTGTGTGGTTGTAAGATTTCCCACAGAAATTTCTTACATGCCTTGATGATGGACGTACTAGAGGGCGGAGGGACGCTCCATTGTCAGTGCACCTCATAAAGAAGACCAACTCCTTTCACAAACCAACTGCCCCATCTTGAAGTGCTGCATAGTTAATGTTAACAAGAAAATAGATAAAGAATGAATACATCATCAAGTCTGTTCTGAAGACACCATCACACATTCACCATTATCAGGATATTTAAGCTACATAACTGCAGCAGACAAATAACTATACTAAGCCAATTTGTCACCCTCGGTGGACTAGTGGTTAGCATGCTCGCCACTGGACCCAAGGTTCGCAGGTTCAATCCTGGCCGAGATCGATAGATTTTTAAGTGTGATAAAATTCGGTAGCATAACTTCCTTCGGAGGGGAAGTAAAGCCGGTGGTCCCATGTCATAGATTTATGGCATGTAAAAGAACCATATGAGCATGATATGAGATGTTTCATAAGCAAAATTCAGCGGCCATTTCTCACCCAAAAGTCTCCTGATTAACTGCTAGGTGGCTCTGGCAGTCAAATCAGGATTGAGTAGAAATTGTGCAGAATCAGTCGGCTGGTCATTTACTACTTCACGCACAACCAAGACCAAGAAACCTCCAGAAAGGAGGCAGTGGAAACCCACGACAGTGTTGTAGTGCCGAGAAACAACAAACAACAACTAAGCCAGTCTGTAATGTCTTATGAATATATTTCACTTTGTAGGTTCATATTCACCACAACCACCAAATCCTGAACGTCAAATTGGCCCTGTTTTGGAAACAGCTTTGCAGCGAGCACCTATTCTTCACATTCAGGCAGGAAAATTACAGTCAGCTGTTACTCGTTACAGGTATCTATTTAGGCAGTAGTAAAGTAAAGTAAAGTTTGTCCCGCTACACGCCATGTAGGCATTTGGGGTGAGTGGAGGTATATCTCCTCTCTTTCTTGACCTCGGCACTAGATGGGGGTGAGTGGTCAGCATCACGCCCCGGCCGGCTTTACCCCCGGGAAAGGACCCTGGTACCCATTGTAGAGGAGGCTGGGTGGGCCCTAGAGCCGGTCTGGACGCAGAGACTAGAGGAAAAATCCTCTGCCCCCGTCGGGGATCGAAGCCCGGTCGTCCAGCCTGTGGTTAGTCACCATACTGACTGAGCTATCCCGGCTCATATTTAGGCAGTAGTGGTAACATTATATAATTTCAGAGCTAACCGTTAGATGCAAAGTTGGGCCAGTTCCAGCCATCTTCTTTCTTGGCAACGTATTGCACAAAGATTTGTCTTAATGTTATTCTCTCATCTCTTCCATTCCAAGAGATTATACCACTAAAATTCAGTAGGCCTATGCATCTCTTGCTTCATCTGATCTGCATATCCACTGTCATCCAGATCCACTCCATCTAATTTGTTACCTATAATACTAAATGACTTATATTAATAACAGATGTCCTCATTATATAATATTCTGAATTATTCACTGTTTTCTCTTTCAGGACTATGTTAAGTGCAGTTGAATCCAGTGCAACACACAGTTTGCGTCTGACACTTACAAGACAGCTAGCCGAAGTGTTATTGAGGGGTGTCAGTGGAACTGTATATACAAGTCCAGAAAAAGTGAATGAGACAACAGGTCAGTTTTAATATTTTTTGTTGAATAAGTTTCTGGTCTAAAGGAAGTCTCATGCTAGAAGTCTCAGATTCAAGATCAGTTGGATCCTTGGTAGATTTTTTTGGTGTCTTACCTGTCCCTCTCATTAAATAAAGACAATTGTTAATGTGGGGAATATGACACCCTATGGTTTGGAGTCCATGTCATGCTGTATACCTGTTCTGCTGGTGATTTTTATAATAACCTTGTTATTGGTAGAAAGTGGAATCCTGCTTGCAGATGCAATTACTTCAGAGTGAATTTCTTTTTGCCAGATAGGCATTAAAAACATGTTTGAAATACTCAAATCATATATTTTTAAAAGTTATTGAGTTTGCTAACGCACAGTTTTTATTAATGTAACATTTTACATTGTTTAATTGTAATTTGGTACTTATTGTCAGTATTCTTAATGTTTTACTCTTTGCTTTTGTATGTTGTGTGAAGTCATATTTCATTTAAAAACTGTAATTTGTACATATTCAAATATGGAAAGTTTTAAGATAAGTACTGAGTAATTTAATTTATTACTTCAGACTTTCATGGTAAGCTACTGAGTTGTAAATGTGCATCTGTGAAACAGTTTCTGGGGACACAGCACTTACCGACTTCAGCACGTCACATCATTCGTCTCTTGTTATAACACTTTTCTGACAGAATGGGTTTTTGAAATAGTAGTTTGACACTTGAGGTTATATACTAATAAAATTCAGGCTTGGTCCATGTTTAAGAGTTCGGACTGTTTTTATGAAGTGCCAAGTTTAGATTCATATAGGGGTCTTTACTTCAGAATCTTATTTCTGAGGTCATTCCCAGTCAGAAATGTAATGAACTTGGATGTGAGATTATTTCAGGAACCACTTCGTATATTTACAAGTCTAATTGTCAATTTAAAGTAATTCATAAATGTAATGGGGTTATGAAAAATAGAAAATGTTCATAATACCTTCTTATATTATTTCCTGAGGGTTTCTTTCCTTCCCATAGTGAAGACTGATTAACAAATTTAACATGCTTCATTTTTTCTGTAACTATTTCAGCCTCAAACAAAAAATTAACACAGATCACTCAGAATTCTGTGGCTGACAGCCCTTGGAAACCCCGTAAATACACCGGCTTAAATCTCTTCATACCTCGTAATGAAAATGAAGAAATCATCTTATTATTACTTATCAGGTAAAGTTTGAAATAGCTCATCTGACTTCAGTCTGTCTCCCATTAACAAAGTTCAATGCAAGAACAAAATACAATGAAATCTCCACATAGTGAAAGTATAAGATAATAGTTTTTACTGTAAGTACATTTTTGAGTTTTGCAGTATAATGAGATCCCAGAATGACTGTCACTGTTCATATCATCCATTCAGGTTTGTCAGATTACTTGAAAACAAAAAACTGTAGAATATCTCATTTAGCCTTCACTTGATCAAATATGATGCACACAAAGGGAAATACACAGTTGTACTTGTGGAAACATGTTAAAGAAAATTGTCATCAAACCTAAATTTGAGTTAATGAATGATAAATGGATCTTAATAGTAGCAGAGATCTATGACATGCCTCATTTATGTCATTTGGTGAGACAATACACAGGTTTAGCAAGTACAGTAATCTCATTCGAGTTAGACCATGTATATATTCAACTATGAATAATACAAATTTATAGACTGGATATTATGGGGAAGGAAAGAAAATTGGTGACAGTGTGTAAATAATCTGTATCTTTAGTGAACAAATCAAAATTTATGGCTCCAGTAATCACCCAACTCTTGCTTGCATGTTGTAGTGAAGCCATGGCTGTTCGTGATGCTGTACTGAGCCAGTCTCCAGAATTTAAAGAAGCAAGAATTCATGCCTATGATAATGCCACTGCTATCTATGATCTCCTAACAATTGCTTTGGTTCGATGGGGCCATGCAGACCTCTTACATGAGGTATGCTATTGAGTAACTGAGGAGTTTCTGATTTTTTATCATAATCTGCTGGGATTTTGTGGTCAAAACACTGAAATGTTCGTAAGTGTTAGAGTTCTGTTGCTGTGGACTGATTCTTAGTTTGTTACATTTGTGAAAGAAACGACTAGGATTGTGACTGCAGTTATATTTGAATTTAGTGTGGTTTGGTAGAAGAATGTTAGATATTACTTTTAAGAATTTTGTGTTTTGCTTTAAGGTTATTTTTTCTTAATTTTGAGAGAAAATGTCTGTTTTAGTCATTTGAGCGGGCTATGAAGTTTTCATTTGAAGAACCTCATGTCTGGATGCAGCATGCCCTGTGTTTGGTAACTATGGGGCAGTATGCTCATGCTCTCTCAGTATTCAAGGAGGTCTCCAAGCTTTTACCAACCAAAGTGATACCTTGTCTTCTGGCAGCACGAATATGCTACGAACATCTTAACCAGGTGACGTCTATTACAACTTCTTTGCGCTTGTTACTGGAGTGAAATGCAAGTAGATGTGTCAGAATATGCAGAAATGTTTTATAAATTCATAAATTTATAAATGAGGTTTATTACTGCTTTGAGGAAATGAAAGAATGTTTTAACAATATGACATTTGTGCTTGAATTATTGTTACTGAATAATAAATGATAACATTCCTAAATTAAGCAATACAAACTTGGAATTACACTGTGTATTGTATGGTCAGCCAAAAAATTGTACAGGATTGCAAGAACTTTATAATCTTCGATGGAAAATTATAGAACCAAGAATCATAATATGTCACTGAAACTTGTTAATTGTACATTATTTGCTTTAGCTGCCACAAGGAAAGTTGTAGCATTAAACAACATCAGATTTTCTATTTCTGAGTATACTAATGATATGACTAGTGGAAACTATATCTTTGTAAAAAGATTAGACTTGTATTGCAGTATGGTTGTAATTTATTTAAGAACTTTATTAAAGTTAAGGCTTCTTACTCTACAGGGTCAGTGTAAAATCATCATCTTTACTTCAGGGACTATGAGTATTTCCTGTTTGATTTCAGACTCCCATCTCTTACAAAGTGTTTGATTATACTAGACATAAAATATCTGAACCTGTGCTGTGTCATAGTAAGAGGGGAAGGGAAGATGGAAAGGGCAAGTGGGGACCAAGATGCTTTATGCAGTATTATTTATCCTCCTTCCCTTTACCTTGTGTATTTTTAACAATCAGTGACACTCAGAGGTATTTTGTAACAAATATAAAAATAGATTTCTAAATGTATATACAGTTTTTATATATATATATATATATATATATAAATCTTTTCTATTAGCCCTGAACTGAATTGGCCATGCTTTTCAATGTGTGGGTCCATATGACAATTTTTATATGTATAGTCCATTTTTGGGCTTTTCAATTTAATCTTCACTTTGATTTCCCTAGTCCTGGACTAGTCACACTCCTTTTTTTGCCTTTATTTACAAGAATTTGAAGCAGTCTTCACACATCTGATGATAATAATAATGTATTTCTTTCTGAAGATTGGAGAGGGACTTGATTGGAGCACCCAGGCATTGAGTCGTGAGATGTCAAATCCACAGGGTCTGTTGTCCAGGTGCCATCTTTTTCTTGGAATTGGCTACAATTTACAGGCAGCTGCAAACCATCTTAAACAGGAAAAGCAGCATTTAGTTATCAGTGCATTTGATGCATTCCACAAGTAAGTTACAGTGTATTAATATAGGATGGTCTGTAAGTCTCTTTACTGAGATCTGTCTGTGTGTGCGTGTGTGTGTGCAGGTGCTTGCACTCATGCAAATGTGTGCAAATGTGGACTGCATGATCTGATTAAATAATTTGCATGGGAAATTGTGTTATGGATAAAGAGCTGATTTCAAGGTGACGTGTTCCATTTGTATCATGGAAAGGGTTAATTGCACTCTGTAGGCTGAACCATGCCTATTTGCCCAAACCAAGGGTACAAGAAAATGGAATATATAATTGGCTTTAAGATATATGAAGATTATTTACATTACATGTCAATTGTAGGGCCCAGCAGTCAGATCCCAATGATCATTTGGCAGAATATTACCTGGCTCTGCAGTTTGCATATGGGTGTCAAGTCGGAGAAGCCATGAGTCATGTGAAGATGGCACTGAACCTTCGAGCTGAACACGTGCCATCGCTGTATCTGCTCATCCTTCTCCTCTCTGCCCAGAAACAACATGCTGAGGCCCTGCAGCTAGTTGAAGCTGCATTAGAAGAATATCCTGACAATCTCAATTTGTTTTATGTAAAAGCACATCTTGAGTTACAAAGTCAAGGAGGAGAGGTGGGTTTCATATTCATGTCAATAATGAAAGCTTATGTTGTATGTTACAGGCTGTATTAAGGAGCAAATGCCTTGCAGACAGCATCAGCTTGAAAGTGGCACGGAAATTAAATTATATTTTTTATGAAATTACAGTTTTATGTATTTTAAATTGACTGTAGCTTGTTCAAATTACATATCATTTAACCACACACTGCTTTAACATGGATGGTTGGGACTTTATGCAGTTTTGTTATGAATTTGTTTGGTTTTCAGCTAGCATTGTTTACTGCTAAGCATATGTTGTCACTTTGGAAGACTTTGTATGAGGATCAGACAAACATTGAACTTCCGGATCAGTCAGAAAAACGAAGTGATACCAGAAGCGTGTTTCAGCTGTACACCTCTGAAATGTCAGATAAAGATTCTAGTAAGTACTGTCATTTGTATATGTTCTAAAGTGTTTATGAGTGACAAATTGTAGCCCAGCAGTGGATTCAGGTTATGGCCCGTTTACAATGTGGATGCTCTTCATCCATTTTATGTGATATATAATGAAGGCATGCGTTACATGCAAGTATTCAGATCTCAGATTAGAAGCTGAGTGTAGTAGAAAATTCAGTGCTTGAATATCTTGGTAAGCTTGTGGTACAGGAAATTCTGCATCACTGTTGGTTGAATATTAAAAAGAATTAGGTGAATGTGTTATAGCCAAATGTCTCTAGCATAGGAAAACAGCAGTAACACTAATACCAGATTTAATTGACAGATGGCTCTATTAGTTATTGAAATGTCCATTAGAATACTTACTTTCTTTGTTGTTGGCACACTGTGTTTTAGAAGACATGGCAAGCTTTGTAGAAGAATAGCAGTAACCACTGGTATTCTTTTTAATCAAAATAAATTACAAGATATTAATATAATGTTCCTATATGGAACAATGATTACAGCAGTTCATTTACAAAAAATTGAAAAATAAGATAATCAGAAATTATTGGCATTCTGCTAAGACCATAAATACAGAATCCTTAAGTGTGAGAAATTTCTAACTTAAGGAATCATAAATTAGGTTTTTCCTAAAAGTAAATAGTGTACATGCTTTCTTACAGCCTCGTATCCTATGTATAACAATTTAACAGAGGCAGTGTGTTGTGTCAGATTTTAGTAACAGTTAACTTAGCAGAATTAGCACACCTTATAGACAAGGTATGAACCATGCTTTTGCGCACATTCTGTTATAATCATTTTTATTGATAGGTGCTAGCGTCAGTAACCTTAGAAAGTGCCCATCAACCTTGAGTGTCCATCAGGCACCAAACTACACAATAACAGGTGACTAGTAGCTTGAGTGGTTTGTGACAGAGTTCCTTATTCTCCCTACAGGCTCACCTAAGGACTGACTAAAATCTAACAGTAGTTAAAAATCTATCTTCAAATCTTCTAAATCAGTGGTTTTTAAACTCTTTATTTTTCTCCATAATTGCAACTGGTGTATGTTGTTGCCATTCACGCAAAGTGTCTGAGCTCAGTAATTTTAAAATTATTGTCAGTATTACATACAATACTCTGTGGCTTAGGGACTGACTCTTCTAGGTGCCATAAAACTGGTTGTTTTAAGTATTTCCCTTGCAGGTGACATGTAAATGCAAAATTGTTGAAATTAAACTCAAGTAAAGCCATTGACATGTAAGTAACAGCCCATTGTGACCTACTGTTCAATAAAATCAAACATGCTAATCTATACATGATGGTTTAGTGCTTAACCAGAAAATAAAACTACAGTAGAGTGTGGCCACTGTGCCGTGCTATGCAGGTGTATAGAAGAGGTGGAGGTAAAGCTTGGTGCATTCTAAACCTTGACATCAGATGACAGTGTGTGGCCAGTTTCACATTTTGTGAACTTTACCTCCAAAGAAATAAATGGAAGTATCTATTGGATATGATACTTGATGAGCCCCATACCTATTCTGTTTGTGTGATGATAAAGAGAAAAATTCCCCCACTAGTGCCATTATTTTAATCCTAGCTTTCCCGACCAATACTGGCCACTTAATCAGAACTCAAGGATGTCAAAACTGAAGGATGAAATATTTATAAATGATCAGATGATAAGTCCCTGGACTCTGAAGTTGTGCAGAGTGGAGTTTGAAAACCACTGTTCTGTTATATTCACACATGCATGAACGTACTTAATTACTTACCACGATATTTGCATGGACCCAAACCTGCGCACTGTACAGTATGTCAATTTGGATAAAACCAGTGTGGACACATTTAAATGGTAGTTGTGTTCAGAAGGGACATAATTTCTGCTGCTACCAAAGGTTGAAAATTGGGTGCCTTCCACTATTACAAGCTATATTTTCATAACTCTTTAACTGAATACTCTGTTTCTGTCAGAAGTATTACTAAAAAGTGCATTTTTAAGTATAAAGACTATCATAAATCTAGAATTATTTTGGTTTAAGTAAAAATGTTATCTTAACTGAGTATCTTAAACGTGGTCTTGCTTTGTACCAGTGTTTCTCAACCAGTGTGCTGCAGCAGTATCAGTCAAATTATGCCTTGACAATTGGAGTGATGCATTTCTATACAATTAACATTTAGTTTGTGTGATAATAGCAGTGATAACCTGTTTTGTTGTCTCATTGACATATGCTATTGTTTATTTTTAAAAAATTTTCTGCCTTGGTATTTTCATATTTCTTTATATTTTTTTACATACTGCCTTGTTTAAATTAGTAATTTTTAACATCAGTGCTTTGTCAATCTCTCTTGTTGTTTATTACTCATTTTTTAAATTCTGTTGGTCTCTTAAATTTGTCTGTGAATTCCAGTGCATGTTACAAGAAGGACTATGTTATTGAAAAGCCCAGTGAAATATGAATAATATTATGAACACAGTTTATGCTTGTGTGTGTACGTGACATGAGCTGTATTTTAATGTGCTGCCATATGGAAAAAGATTGAGAAACACTGCTGTATGTCATCAGAGACATCCCCCATCACCCATGAGAACACACTATCAGTCAATTTCTGGATAAAGAGGAAGAATATTTCACATTATCCAAGATAATTAAAAGCACAAGTCAATTATCTGATAACTTATAATTCAAATTTAAGAATTCTTGAAAGTTGTAGACAAAAGTACATGCCTGGATACTATCTGATCTTCAATAGATCAGCATTCTGAAAATACTGCATTCTTTCTTCATGTGCTGAAAGTTTGTGATTCGGTTCTCAGCCAAAAGACCATCTGCTGTGACTGAGGTTTTTTTTAAATACCTTTAAACAGTCTGTCCAGGCAACTGCTTGGACATTAAATAAAAATTGAATGTTAAATGATGGAAAATCTTAAACCAAAAAATATGAAATATAAATTCCACCATATATGCAGAAATACATGTTTTTCTTCCAGATACCTTCTGAAAATTGAATGGTTAATTCTGTTTAGGTATTTTTGGTAACATAAAGATCAACAGTATAATGCATAATCAGTTTTTAGGAGGTATTTGGAATGTAAAAAGTGCACAGTATATTTGGATAAATCTGGTATATTTACAAACCCATCACAGACTATCCTTGTCTTGTATTAGATGTTATATTTAAGCACTATTTTAAATGTGTTATATTATAGCTTCCTGATTCTAGTTTATGTAAGAGATTTTGAAAATCTTATGTTAAATTTCTAGAAGATGTGTTAATACAGTGTGTTGGCCCTGATGAATTTGTTACATTGTTCTGTGCAACTATGAGCTTTATATGCACAAATCCTCTCTCATCCACAGTCCAGACTGTGAGAAATCAAATTTTATTGTATTTATTTCAAAATGTCTTAATTAATGAGGGTAATACCTATTAATGTCCCGCGTCGTAGCCGCGCGGTCTGAGGCATCATGCTTCGGACCGGTGATACGGAATGCACGCTGGTTCGAGTCTCGGGGAAGAAGAAATTTTCTCATGAGCTTTCGACCAGTGTATGGGACCGGTGCCAACCCAGCATCGTGAAGAAATTGGGGAGCTACAATGAGTAGCGTAATCCGGTCATAAAAACTAGCAATGGCTGGGGGTTCGTCGTGCTGACCACACTTCATCCTATATCTGGTTGGATGATCGTTCACCTCTGCTTAGGCATGTGAACGTGAGGCCAGCAGTCAAGCTAGTCGGCTTTGGCTCTCTGGAGCTGTTACGCCACGGATTTAATTTATTTTAATTTAATACCTATTAATATTGTTATGAATTATATTAGTTTGTGTGAAATCAGGAAGGAACTTACTGATTCACATTTGAACAGACTTAAAAAGGTAACTACCAGATGGAATTGTTGCCCATGGGATTAAATTAAGGAACTTTTATGTGTGTTGCTAAACTGGTATCTAATGCAAGGACCTTGAATAGTGTACAATGTGAGAATTTATGTCTTAATGAAGAACTTTATTTTTCATGTACATGTAACCGAAACTATTGAACTCATTCTTATACTCAAAGCATCTGTAATTTGTATGTTTCATTAGATTTTTGTTTTCTATAAAGTTTTCAGCCAAACATAAATGTGTGTTAGACCTATACTCTAATGTAAAGTTACAGAATCAAACATAAAATTATATTTTCTCATTTTGCCTTATTCCAAATTGTTAGTGAAACCACTGCATAATGTGACATCTTGTTTTTCTGCTTGTGCTATGATATTTGTGTTTTTCTGTTTGTCTACTAATGTTTTGATTTCCAAACATTTGTGTGTTGTGTATAACCAGGTTCTGTGACTTACTGTGTTAGGTTCCCTGCATGCCCATTCCTTGGCAGCATCGCGTGTGGAGCAAGCGTTATCGGAAGTAGCTTCATCCCTCAGTTCCTTCACTCCTCGCCCTGGTCCACAGCATGCGTGGTTACTGCAGCTTCAGATCTGGCTGCTTTTGGCAGAGATTTACCTTTCACTGGAGCAAGTTGCTGAAACCACAGCTTGTATTCAAGAAGCTACATCTATTTTTCCATTGTCACACCACATAATGTATATGGTGAGTAATATGCCCATTCTATTTTAGTTGGCTGTTTTAATTATATTCACAATATTTAAATCATTAAAAGCAATTAACAGAAATATTTTGCAATCTTTTTTGCATTTGAACATTCATAATCTTACTTTTGTTGTCGTTTCAGAGGGGGTTGGTTCATGAATATAAACAAGAATTTATAGAAGCAAAACTGTGCTTTCAGAATGCTGTTGCTATAAACCCAACGCATATAAAGAGCCTTCAGCATCTGGTATGTTGTTTACAATTATTTTGATGTTTTGTGTATGCGTTGTTCAGCATGTGTTTCAGTAACTCATCATAATTAAAGTTTTTATAATGTACATGTGGATTGTCTGTGATCAGCCACATTTAAACTTTTAATCTTCATGATGACCTTGTGCCTGGAATTTGTTAAGCCATGCCAAAAGTATGTATTATTAAAGTACTCATATTGCATGATAACTTCTTATTGGTATGTTCCTGAGAATTACTGTATTTTACACAGGGAAGATATTGAGCACACAACACTTCTTTACATACAATCAGAAACCATTCAGCTTATATCAGATTAAAATATTTTATTGTACTGGTTTACAACATGAATGTTTATTGTAACATGATCATTTCATGTTAATGATATCAGATGCTTGTACTTTTATGTTGTCTCTATATTTCTTAGCTTTGTATAAGTATGATGAGGCAGTTTAGTGTTATGAATTATCTCTTGTATTTTCTTTAAGTGTCTCTCACATTTTCACTTTTATCGTACTGAGATTAATGTTTTGTAGATTGAAATGGACCAGCTTGTTCAAATACTGGATTATAGTATAATACAGATCTACCTTTTATCTCGTTTTTAATTTAATTTGCAGTACATTACAGAAGAGCCCTGGTGTTTGTGTACTGTATACCTCTAGTGGAACCTCATTATTGCAAAATTAAGGAAACCCGCATATATTGACACAGTAGTTTCAGGAATGTAAAACAAACCTAATTGGCAGTGCTTAAGATTAGAGTACTTGGACGTGATTTTACAGGAGTGGTCTCTATTGCTGTTTTGAAGAAAATGCAGTTTGCATTTGTTGATAAATATTAACTACACTTCATATATCCAAATAAATATCAGACATTACAGCACTGAAATAATACATGAAAACAAAAGATTATTTACTCATTGTAAGCTGTAAAATATACTTATACAATAAGAAACAGAAATATTGCAATGCTGTTAACACTTGAAAATATAGTGTTGTGACATCCTGATCACAAACAAACATATTCAAGCATTTTATATTCTTTGGTATGATTGCAAGTCTAACATTACAGAGTAATTTTTTACCTTTTGTAAATTGGGTTTCAAAACTGTTATTTTACCTTTCTAATGAGAGTCATATACCTTGATAGATTCTTCCATTCATCAACAATTTGATTAGCCAAAAAATTCTCACAGAATTTTATTTATAAATTTGCAGTTAATAATGAAATATGATGCCTATTTTTATAGAATATAAATGCAGTAGCATGATGATTCTTGCTGTATTATATCATATTTATTATACTTTGTGTCATCAGGGCTTAATTTATCATTACCTGGGAAGTCAGAGGTTAGCAGAAAAAACTCTGAGAGATGCAGCCAGAATCGATCCTACATCTCATCAAACATGGTGAGTGGCCTACACTAAACTAAGAGACCCAGCTGGCCATGCGTTGTAGTAGCGTACCATTAAACCATTAAAACTTCAGTTAATTTTGTCAGACATCCCCATAATATAGAAGCTGAAATCCATCGTTCCTGTATGATAAAGATTGGTCAACTTACTTTGATCCTAAGTGGTGTCATTGCATGTGTATTTACCAACAATTGTACATAGTAACACTAATAAATGCACCTTGTCGTGGTGGTGGGGCTTGAGTACCTCAGTGATCCCAAGAGCTATGCTGGCGGTAGCATAGCTACTGGTAGGGTCTCCCTAGCCAGATTGGTCAAGGGGGAGAGGTCAGACTAAGACAGGTACCTTGGTCCTCCAGGTTGGGGGTTGGTCACAAGGCTAACAACCTTGCGCCGTAAAAAGGAAGATGTTTCGAAACCTCAATCAAAGCTAACAAAGGACCGAATGGAAGAGGAGAATTGAGGAGGCCATGGACCGAATACGGACCGGAGAGCCATAGAAGAAGAAGAAGAACACTAATAAATGCTATTGCATTGTTATGAAATATATCTGAAAAGAACTATTGCCACTGGCAGAAGAGTAAGAGTGATAAATTAACTTTTTGTATCCATCCACGTATTTTATTTCCTGTTTTGTATATGTGATTACAAACCATGAGAATTCAGAAAAGTGACAAGCTACAGGTTTGATGACCTCCTTTTAATTTCTGACAGTGGTAGGGATTCTTAGCTACCACATCCAGAACAGTTCTGGGCCCCACTCAGTCTTTCTAATTATTACTTGGGTTATCTTTTCTTGTGGATTTAGCAGCAGGATCATTTCCATCTAGTGTCAGTGCCTAAAATACATGGAGACATCAACATTTTTACAGTATGGTGCATAAACACCTTGCTGTTATGTTTTAGGTTTAATATTCAACACTGACATCACGCAGTTCAATACCGACTTCAGTAGAGAAGTTTAAAGTATGATACTATCAGTAGCATGGAATTATAAGTTTTTTGTTTTAAATTATTTAATTTAGAATTGAATGATTTCAGATTCTGGATATGTTGTGAATGTTAGGCATATTTACTACAGAGTTAATGAAATTGATATTGTTTTCCATTTCAGGTACAACTTAGGGAAGGTTTTGGAGTCATTAGGTGAATTTGACACTGCAAGTGACTGCATGGCGACTGCTCTGGAGGTGGAAACATCCAATCCTATTCTTCCATTCTCATCTATACCCCTGACCTTTGACTGAGTAGGTACTTTTACTGTAATTGGTTTCACTAAAGCTTTTAAATTTTTAAAGTGGTTGTAATGTAGATTCAGAATTGTAATGTTCTGCAGACATTTGATTGTTTGGAATGTAGTAGATGCTTGTTTGCCAGACGGTGCGATTACTGTCGTTTACTTCGTCTACATAGAAACGAGATTTAGACATTTGCTTTGAGCAGAAAGAACAAATATATTGGTTTTACTTTGAACTTTCCAAGCAAAACTGTGATATTGGACACAAGAAAGACTGAAAGCAAATAGAAATTTCCTCCAGACATCATCCTCTCAAATATATTCTTTTGGAGCTTGCTGTCTCCATTATCAGGGCAATGCTGATAATGGAGGCAGTAAGATCCTCTGAGATATTATTATTCACTATACTACACAGTGCAACATCCCTGAAGGCAGCTATCACCATACTCTGTGCTGTGAAAACCTGAAATTTCAGCTGCCCTGCAATTCCATTTCTAATTGACATAAGCGCGCCTACCACACCACGTAAAGACGTGCTTTTAATTTGCAGTGAAGAAAGTAAATGGTAATGAAGTGAGGACTGAGAATTCTTAAAAATGATTACTCACATATGTTATTTAACCACTATACCATTTGTGTTTCACTGTGATTTCTCTTTTTACGAAATGGCGTGCGTATATTTTGATTTGGCGTTTACAGACCTTGTAAATTTAACCCTTTCCACTCCGAAACTAGTTGAAGCAGGTAAAATTATTTCTATAAGGGAAATTCCAATAGCACAAAGCTCATTGTTGGCATCATCAAATTGTAACTCGACACAGAAAGCACTAATGTTGACTTTGAAACGGCACTTTGCATTTAAAATATCAGCGTAGAAATACTTAAATTACTATAAATCATTTGGTTTGTTTTGATTTTAACCTGATGTTCTGAAAAAATAATTAAAAGCTGTATAAGTCTTTGTACATAAACATCAGACATGGGTAATGACATTTCAGGCATGAAATAAAATTATGGTTTGCTGATGGAAACCATTCAGTATCATATCTGCTTCCATAAACGTTGGTACTTGAATACTGTAAATTAATGGAATTGTAATCATTATCATTCCACCAGTATTGTAATCTGTGTAAACCTGAATTTCTTTTAATTTTGCCTTCCTTTCCCAACCATTTTTGCCTAATGCACCCACAACCATGAAATAAATTTTACAGTGTCTCGTGTGTGTTTATGATGTGATATTTAGAAACATTCTTTTGCCTTCAGTGTACATAATGTATGTAATTCTATAATCTGTACATAAAATGTCATGTATCATATAGGCATGTAGCTAGCTGTATATAAAAGTAAATTTTCTTAATGTTGATTGACTCAAACCGAAGTGTAATTATTTTATAAGAGAACAGGCAGAACATATTTAGATAAGGAAATATCCGTCAAGAGAAACCTACAGATTCATGAATTGTAATTTAGAAGGAATGTATTCATTTCAGGCACATTATCAACTGAAAGTTGCAGAAATGTACCTATTAGCTTCACCTGTCTGTTTGTCTGTCTGTCTGTATGTCTGTCCACACTTAAGAACTTACGAACAGCTAAAGAAATTTACAAAATTTCATGTTGTGAAAATTTGTTGGCCTATTCCAATTTTGGTTAAAAGAACTTGTTACCGTGGTAATTTACAATTCTTACTCATGGGGAAAACAAGAAGTACATATACAATTTTGGTTATAAAACCTCAGGTGCAGCTGGAAGTAAAGTAAAGATGTTAAAGTTGTCCCTGAGATGAAGTTCCATTGATTCCTAACCCTGGCACTAGATAGAGGTGAGTGTTTGGCTGTTTTAACGCTGGTAAATGTGGGCTTGTGTCAAACTTTTAATAAGATGTTCGGTGGTTCCAGACCTGGTCTGAACACGGTAATGAAGGGAGAAATTCTGTGCTTGCTGTGAACTGAACCCTGGTTGTCCAGCCCATAACCAGCCACTTTACTGATTGAGCTGTCCGAGAATAATATTCAAATGGACCTTAGATAAATAGGCTATGAAAATTAGAAGAATAGATTTATCGCAAGATGGGGTTGAGGCTTTTGTGAACATTTTCAGGGCATGTATAAACAGGAAATTCTTTGATTAGCTAAATAAATCACAGCTACTGAACAAAGACCCTGTCATTGAAGCAAGTGTCGATAGTGATAAATTTAATTCTCTTTCAGGAAATGATTGCTGAATTTCTCTCATCCTGACCTTCCTTACTCCTGTTGCCTGTTGCTTCACCAGGATCAATGCCCTAGCATTTGGTATTCATAAAGAACAACGTTTCGGTAAGAAACTTTTTCTCATCTTCAGGTGAAGAGGTAGGGGAGTACCTCTCAGTTGGGTCCGTTAGAAAGAGGTAACCTCGATAAGTGGACCTGCGTAGGAACTCTACTTCTTTACTTGGGGACTGAAACAAATCCAGTTTCAGACAAGCTTTGTTCGTTTCAAAATAATATGTGACCAATATCCAGAAATTCAGTAATACAGATTCTGTACATGTGATTTATTTGCGGCCTGTTTGCCAGAAGCAGAAGTGAGCTGCAGTCTTTATCACTTGGCACCTTATCTCCTAGCGTGATATGGCACTGCAGTCCACGCTACAAATCGATTATTTGTACGGCAGTGCGATATTATTGGACTATGGTCTGTTCAGGATGTGTGTGGAGTAGATATCAACGAACAATGGCCAGGGTATTATATCATTTGGCTTTTGGACGGGGCGGGGAAATGTGTGTTCCGCCGACGTCACGAAGATTGCGGGTAGAAAGAATAAACGCATATTCGACGTAAACCACAGACATTACCGTTTTCGTTATTGAGACAACGAGCTAATGCCGCTGGGAAATGTTTGTAGTACGGACAGTATATGCTGCCGTAGCCATTTACTTTCGTCAGGTGATTGCTGTCAGCTGAATCCCATTGAACTGAGATTGAAACGTCGTACCTCTGATTGTGAATTTGTCATATGTTTGTCCTTGTTCCTCGTGTGTTTACTTCCGTCCCATGCACACGTCAACCCGCCCGAACTACACCGGCCTGTCTATTTAACTATTTATACACGTAGATTGCGGCGCCTCGTAATCATTCATTTGCATTTGTAAAGAAGCTCGCAGTTAGAGCTAGGGTTAAAGCTGCACTTTTCACCGTGACCTATTAAACAAGGTTGTTATTTTTATGTAAAATTGTCTGTGCCTAAGCACCACGCCATAGTGTCTACATGGCGTGAAGGTGCTTTTTTGTCCATTATTATTATTATCGGAATTGTATTGAAGTGGCGAGCTTCATGCTTCTATTGTTTTACCCCTGGGAAAGAGCCTCTGGTGGCCGGAAAAGAGGTTGAGTGGATCGCAGCGCCAGTCTAGAAAATATCTCTGGCTCTGCCGATAACCAACCCCCGAAATGCCAGTCGCTTATTGACTGACCTTTCAGAGTGTTGATATGGATACTCAGAAATATGTAAAGGACTTCAATCATCCGATGTATAAAAGAACATTTTGATTCCGAATTTATTACGGATGTACAAAATTTCTGTTGCCGTAGTACAGTATAAAGGTTCTGGATGATTTGGAGTGGTTGCAACATAACATCTCATCTCATGCCGAGTTTCACAAACATTGGCCTGTTGTTACTCCACAGTACCTCCATGGAACAAGGTCATTATTTAGAAACTGACAGTTGCTCAGCTAGTCAGTAAATTCCCCGTAAGAATTTGGCAGAGCTTATCTCTGTGAACAACTTTTCAGCTTCACGAAAAAATAGGATTTGTGTCACTGACGAACAAACCAAACGCGATTTTGAAATAGTACTGAAGCTAAAGCAGTGGCAAATACAGCAATATTGACTGGTGTTGTGAAAGAACATTATTAAGTAATATGTTAACATGTTTATAATAGTATATTGGTAGAATTCTTAATCAATTGCCATTAAATTTCAATACGCTATGGCCCACGAGCCTATAAGGTGTGAATGTGGCCCTGAGTCTGGTAAAGGTTGAGAACTGCCTTAAGGATTATGTTTGTTTGCTTGTATGTTACAAAATAACAAATTACGTCTGTGTCTGAAGAGTTCGCCATTAAAACGTATAAGCTACACATAAAGGCAAATCTCTACGAATTTTGGATCTACGCACGCAGTAGTCCCACGTATCGGCCAGAGAAAGGTGCCACTGCAAGATTAATTTATTATTTTTATTTACAAGGCATGTGGCTAAGATTGGAAACACAAGTGATACTTGCAGAATTTTGTGGGGTAATCTTTTGGACAATACACATTTGGAAGATAAAAATAAGATGCATTTCTGGGAAATAGGCCAAATATAACTGTCTCAGGATCGTGTCCAGTGGTTGGTTTCGGGTCCTGCTAGCAGTGTTGTTGTTGTTGTTGTTGTTGAGGAGGGATAGAATTCACATGGGAGATATAGACGTAGATGGGAAATATTAGAATTGATTTAGGCGAAATTGAATATGAAGACGTAAACACGATAATGGATCGTCGGGTTCCTTGAAGGCATGGAAATAGCAAGTGTAATATATCAGTCTCTATTTCAAATTGACAGTGGATTCCATTAATCTACAAATGGCGGCGTTTCTGTAAAAAATAACTTTTTAATGTATGAGCCGCAGTTTCGTCTTGAAGGGCAATTCATAATAATAAGCGTCGTACATGAAAGCGGTTGAGTCCCAAACTTTGTTGAAGGTAACCAAACTGTTGAATTTTCCAGCTGAATGTTTCCAACTTGTCGGATTCATGGGAGGGCGTATTTTTTTACTGCGGACTTGTGTGTTCGTGTATTTTTACCATGCGATACAAAGAGGGTGGCGGGGGAAGAGGGGCAGCTGCAGTGCCTCTGCGACACGTTGCGCCAGTATTGCGCGCGCGCCCACCTTGGAATCAATGAACCGTTGGAGCGACTCTGTTCCGCTCTGCAGCCTTCGCTCCGCTCCGCTCCAAGATCCCTCTTTTTCTGAACTCTGGAATCAGACGCATAGCTTGGAAACTTGTAATTATTGACAGGTCAGTCAACACTCTGAAAGGTGGACAATACTGACCTTGAGAACTTGAAAGCCACGTTAAAGTTGTATGGAACAGAAAGTGTGATAAACCACATTTTCTGTTTGCGTTGTTTATTTTATTCATGTGATATTTACGTAATTACTCGTATAATTTTTTGGTGTCAGGGTAATGGGGTGTAAGCCCAAAACTTACAACCGAAATACGATTACTGCTTTAGGTAATATATTAATATTATCTTAATTTGTTATAGATGTAACATTTCAGCCACAGTTTCATTTTTAATGTACAATAAAATGTGTACAATTTTCTTTAAATATGAATAAACGTAGGTGAGATTTTAGGTTATCACGGCGTCAAGTCTTGCCGGATGTTGCACCGTGTATTCTCTTAGAAACTGACCCTCTTTTCAGAAGTGCTTTCTGCCTCCATCCTCAGGGCAATCAGGAATTACACGGCGCAGCGTCCCAGACATGTCTTCACGAATAAACCTAATTTTAGAAGACTTGCCGATTTTTTTTTTCACTTTTCAGGACTTACTGCAACTGACACTTGCGGTGTCCTCCTCCTAGACGCAGGGTTAGTAAAATATTGTCATTCTTGGGAGAGGGTGCTGTGACCTGACATACCCGTTGCTGCTACATCCAGTGGGCAAAGTAGACAGTTGCTCAGGGCCCCTTGATTTTGGAACTTCCCATTGCTCAATACAGCGTACGAGAACACTCCCCGCGCGAGACGTTGAAAGTAGAAGCCTATATAAGCAATGTTTCTCCCGACAAATCTGTTTCTAAAAGAACAGAGTACATACGTATTAGATGACGTCGTAAATAGAGCCTAGTTTAATCACAATATATTTTTAAATTAGGTGTCTTATGCTACCATTCGCTTGAAATCTCCCCCCCCCCTTTCCGCTGAGGTCGAATTAAGGAAGACCGATGGCGAGCACATTTTTAGCTACGTCTAAATGTGTAGGCGAGTAGATTTTCAGTTGCTGGTAGATTTAGTGTTCCTGAAGCACTACTCGTGAATATATGACTCTGTGATAGTAGAACCCAAAGGTTTAACTTCGCTTGAATAAAAATTTTCTTGGATATTATCCATCGTCTAGTAAATATAAAACGTAAAACGACGTTTCAGAGATGGGACTCTATCTCCGTCTTCAGGTTCCTACACAGTTGGGCCCACTAAATAGAGCTAATCCCTATCTCCGGACTAACTTCGCTGTTACCGAAATACGCCACTGCTTACGATTCCGAGTCATTTAACCATTTCACATTCTCACAGTCTCGCATGAGGTCAATGTTATCCTCTCATGTCCTCCTCTGCATAA